GAATTTTCTAAACACTTGTTTATCTAGAATTTTCTAAACATTTATGCAAAAAAAAAAATTTGCAAATGTTAATAACATAAAAATGAAAAATCAAACCCCATGATTATTGCTATTTTTCTGTAACATTTGCCTTTTTCATGGCATAAAATCTTAACATTTACACATAACTATAACAACTTGTCTTGACACATGTATGGAATTCATCGAAATTCTTCGTGTTCTAATAATAAAAATTCTTTCATAGTAGTAGGTAATGGTAACACATCAATTTTTCGAAGTCTCTTTGGGCCCATACTGTTCCTTATAACACATCTGCAGTAATGCTGCAAACTCCGTGGTCCTTTTAACATTTCTTTGTACCAAGCGAACTTTGCTTGCTGGTTTTCTGACCACAATCTTGCCATGTTTATTTGATGCTGTCTTATGTCTTGATGATCCTGACGTATAAGGTGTACAGGGGGTGGAGAATGTAGGGGCGGGGGCATCATTAATGGATTTTGGTTAGCATGAAATGCCCCGAGCCCGAGGGCATCAAGACTTGGTAGGTGAGTCATACATTTAGCTATTGCACTGAGTATTGTTGTATCCCTATGGCGACCTCGGAGTTCACTAACAAGGACACTGTCACCATGTTTGTTTCGTATGTTATAGTTAGCACCGTATGCTAGAAGTAACACCGCCACATCAGGCCGTCTTTCTTGATGTTGTGCATCATTGAAGCACACATAATGTAGTGGCGTAAAACAATCTGCAAATTAAGAGTTTTATATATATATATATATATACCCCTATATAAATATCATATCAAATATTTTGCAAAGTATTTGTGAATTTGCTTTTCTTCCAAAAAAAAAATTTGTGGATTTCCAGGTTAAATTAATTAAATTTATAAAATCTAGAAAATTTGCAATGTTGATAAAATTGTACATACAATATTACTACATTTGCCTGTCTAAGAAAAGAATTGGCCTTTTGCCAACTTATCCACTGATACAAATATTTTTTTTTCTTTGAAGAAAAGGACTCAGCAGAGTTATGGCCCTAGCTCTATTCAAACATTAACACTGATAAAAGTATCAAATTAAAAAAATCAATAACACTGGATAAAAAATTAAATGAAAATTCCAACAAAGAGTAACAAATGACAATAAAAACTTTGATAACTATGAATTTTTTTTCTCAAAAACTGAAAAACACTTCCAACTTTTTCATGTGATATAACTATCCCCTTACAAGATAATAACTGGGCCATATTTATAATAAAGGCAGTAAACATTTTTTTCATTTTCCGGTCTGAATGATACATATAGATAAAACAAAATGTAAAAACATAGTCATACTCGAGGTTTCTGGGAGATTCACATTTGTGTTGTAGCCTTTCACAATGAGAGATTTCACTATTTCTATGTTGAAGTTTTCCCCAGCACAGATGGCTAGATGTAGCGGAGAGAAGCCTGCATGATTGAGATGATTTACATCTGATCCTCTTTCTAACAGTTTCACTATACAGTCCAGAAGATTTTTGCGCACACATTCATGAAGAGGGGTATCTCCTATCAAATATAATAAAAAACATTGCGAAAATGAACATTATTTTATGACAAGTTAAAAGTTGAAACATGTATCTTCTTCAAAAATTCTAATGGGTTATTTAACTTTGAAACACAAACAAAAATATATGACTGAGAACTTCAGAATTAAACATTAGTTAACTTACAGTAATTGCTTTGCATCTGAAGATTAACTTTTATTGGAGCAAATTATTACAATTATAAAGTGTTTTTCTACTGTTAGTCATAATAAAATATAATGCCTGCAAGAGGATGGAAAGAAAAATAAGTCAAAGAAAGTCAAAAACAAATTACATAAAAATTTTTTTATTTGTTTCTGCAAGATTTATGTATCATTCCATGAAGGTCTTGACCAATGACGTATTAGCAAAATTTCAGATCATTCCAGAATAATTATTTTAATTGGAAAAAAACACCCTAAAATGAAAAGCGCTTGAACTCCTTTTACTCAAACTGGACTAAAAAACGCACAGACATTGGAAATTAAAATACTGTACTTAGTGTTTATTCACAATTCATATTATGCTTTTATAAATTTTGATGGAAAATTAAGCTGAAATTACATTCTTCATTACCCACTTTGAGCCCCATTACTGACAATGTCATATTCTACATAGTCCTAAAAACTTGTGACTGCCTGTCTTGTTGCTGTAAGTAGTTTATGCTAGCTTAAATAACAGTTCCTTTATCTATCAATCTATTTATAAACACTGCAAAACAACTTTTCATATAATTGAGCATACATCTGGAGATATGCTGTTTTATTAAGCATGGAATTTTATACCTGTATGTTTCTCTGGAAGGGACAGAATATCTTTCCATATAGCATTATCTAGATGAGCATGAACACACTGGGCTAATCCTTGCTGTGCGGCTAAATACAAACTGGTTCTACAACGCTCATCCACAGCATTGTAGTCTGCTCCATTCCAGATCAGTAACTTGACACAACTTACATGATTATTTGCTGACGCTAGATGTAGTGGTGTTGTTCCTCCAGGGTGTGGAACAGCTGTGACAAAAAATACTTTGTAAATTAGTAACTGTTCAATTTCTTAACTGAATTATGATAAAATTGATTTGTGTAATATTGACTTTTATGATTCAATACTAAATGAATTGTAATCCTTAACATTTTTTAAAAATATAATGTTATGACTATCAGGTTGTGTAAATAGAGGATATTGCATGAGTGTAGGTTTAATACTAAATTTATTGAATGAGTTGAATAAAATCATATTATGCGAGCCTCTGGCAAGCATAATATTGTTTTATTCAACAAGTATTGAATCTACACGAAAATAATATTCTTTTTATCACATATTCAAAATAACAACTGTATACAGTAAAAAAGAGTCATTTTTCTTTGAAGTGGTTACAATTCAATGCTAATTTTAGTGCGTTTAACACTATGTTTGTATATAACGCAAATGACGTCACATCAAAGTGTTATTACACTAGTGTAATAATGTTGTTATTACATGGCTTTATTACACTCCTGCACCGTAGTTCATGTGATACAACATTATATTAATCTGTTATGTTCCCTGTAAAGTTACCCCCTGTTAAACTACAATGGAAAGGTGTTCTAAACTTCTATGTATGTGACATTAATGTTGAATCAAAGTCTGTCATATAATTAGTATGCAGCTTTTCATTTCATTTGCATTACCTGTATATGAACCATGTTTAGAGTATTTTGTACTAATGTTACAATCTGCACCTCCTTTCAGTAACAATGCCAGGCATTCTTCATGCCCCAGCTCTGCTGCAGTATGTAGTGGTGTCACATCAAATCTATCTTTAGCATTCACATTAGCTGTACAACGAGAAATATAAAAATAGTCATATAACATATATAAGTCATGTAACAATAATGTAAAATCATCATTTACCTGTAAGTTTAATAGTAATAAAGCCATTTCTTACTATGTTCTTTCATGAAATTTACACTTCTTTGACATTCAATCATCTATTAGTATTTTACTAATTACTATGTATTTATCTGTTTCCATGGAAAAAAAGTAAGTTCCATTTAATTCCTTCAGTTCTTCTTTAACACACTGTAATGGAAATTCAATTTTATCCACCAATAGATCTAATATATTGCAAGAGCCAAAGCAAAATTAGATTTATTTTTAAACAAGAGCGATCAGTAATCACATGTGTCGCCTCATGATGGCCAATTTCATGTTGGGACAAATTTTGTGACAGACGGACAGACAGACGGACAGTGCACAACTAGACTTTGTACTGATCATTCCTGTAAAGTTTGGATAAAATTGCACCAGTAGTTTATGAGGAGTAGTTCGGACAAGCTTTTGCGTATCTGGCAACACACAGAAAAAAACTCCTTTTTATCAAAGGGCCATAACTCGGCCAAAAATCATTCAACCGGAAAACCCGTGCAATATGCGCAAGGACTTGAGCTACAGATCAATCCTGTAAAGTTTCATTGAAATTGCATAAGTGGTATAAGAGAAGTAGTCTGGACAAACTTTAAAAATAAAAATTATTAAAGGGCCATAACTCAAACAAAAATCATTGAACCGGAAAATGCTGACAATATGCACAACTAGACTTGGTACTGATCATTCCTGTAAAGTTTGGATGAAATTGCACCAGTAGTTTATGAGGAGTAGTCCGGACAAGCTTTTGTGTATCTGGCAACACAGAGAAAAAGAAACCTTTTTATCAAAGTGCCATAACTCGGCCAAAAATCATTCAACCGGAAAACCCGTGCAATATGCGCAAGGACTTGAGCTACAGATCAATCCTGTAAAGTTTCATTGAAATTGCATTAGTGGTATAAGAGAAGTAGTCCGGACAAACTTTAAAATTAAAAATTATTAAAGGGCCATAACTCTGACAAAAATCATTGAACCGGAAAATCCTGACAATATGCACAACTAGACTTGGTACTGATCATTCCTGTAAAGTTTGGATGAAATTGCACCAGTAGTTTATGAGGAGTAGTCCGGACAAGTTTTGTGACGGACGGACGGACGGACAGACGGACAGACAGACAGACGGACAGACAGACGACGGAGAAGTGATCCCTATATGTCGCCACTACTCCGTAGAGGCGACACAAAAATCTGAATCGAGTACATCAAAATCAGAATGAATGACAGACTATTCACTTTATATTAATAAAAATTGGAAGGAAGTGTCTGTTTATTTGCAAATATGTTGACGATTTTTGCCCAAAATAGGGAGAAAACCGTCAGGGAGGAAAAGTCAGGGTAGGAACTTTTTTTTTTATTTTATTTTATTTTAGCAACAACATAGATCACAGTTACATAATAAGATATATATATATATATATATATATATAAATAAATATATATAAAATAACAGTTTATCCAAATTAAAATATCATTTCATATTAATAATAAATAAAACAAATTTAGTTAATGACTGAGATCAGATGAGGCATTGGATAAATGTATTTAAAAAAGAAGCAAATAAATAAATTAATAAAATCACATTTCAGATTAAGACTACAACAGTCAGAATTATAATTATCACAGAATATTGTTTAAAGTTACTGATAAACATGATATAAAAGAAATAAAAGAATTTCAATAAAATTTCAATACAAAGGTTTTGTTTAATAGTGATCTATGGTTACAAGGATAGCCCATTAAGCTGGTGTGCTTATTTCCAATGGGGTCCTGTATTGGTAAGGGAGAAAAATTATGTTTAACTTGTCTGCAAAGTCGTTAGCCCAACTAATTGTACCCATACTGCGCGACGAAATATTGTGCTATTTTCGTGTCTGGGCAATATCTCGCCTCTAAAGCGAGATTAAAGCGAGATTCTGCCCCAGAACGAAAATATCTCAGAATCAAGCTTTGGCACGTCAATATATTTTGACTACAAAGTCGTCTGCAAAGTATACCGACCCAAAAATTATAGTCTGACCGGAATTGTTCACTGAGTCAGATGACAACAACTTTAAAAAGCGTGTGCCTGTTTGTTTTTTTTTTTTATTTATAAATAAAAAACACCACGTTTTTAAAATACTGACCTCCTTTGCTGATAAACAATTTTAAAAGTTCTGGAAAACCTCTTGCTGTTGCAAAATGAAGTGGAGTCATGTAATTTTCAGATTGGTAGAACAGTTGTCGGTTGTACTCTGTCGTATCTGGAGAAACACCACATTGTAAAAGCCTATCTACTTCTTCGTAATTTCCTAGTTTAGTTACTTCTACAAGCCTTTTCTCATCTTCTATGTCTTTCAAATTAATGTCACATCTTTTCCTGGACATTTTCCCAAGAAATAGGGGAGCAAAGTTAAAAAATAAAAAAATGCATTATTGTTAAAGTTCCCGAGAAGGTCAAGTTACTTTTGATCTTCTTGTTTAATATTCATTATCAATTAAATAAGAAAAATCAGAAGTAAATACATATTGACGGGGTTAATAATTTAAGAAAATTAATATAAAATATATATGAAATAATAATGCATCCCCTGGCATAGGCCAAGTCTAAATTCTAGCCCACTGCCGTCATTTTCTTGGTTTCATAGTACTAAATTATCTATCTGGTCACCTGACTTTGCATGTTCAATAGTTATATATGGTTAAAACAAAAAGGAAAAAAAAATCAAATTCAGATAAAAAAATCATGGCGTCTTTAAGGTGATGTATGTTCATTCTACATAACAGCATGATTCAAATGTTGCCAATACGCCCTACCCCTGATTTTCTTTTTTTTTCTTTTTCTTTTTTTTATTCTTTTTTTTTTTTTTGGGGGGGGGGGGGGGGGGGGGGGGGGGGGGGGTTTGAATGTGGTAAATATGTGTGCAATATTGCAAAATATTATTGTCATGGTAAAATAGAAATAGTGGTTTTTGACTCAAAAGAGCTATATATTATGAAAATAAACACAGAGTAAACACAGTCAAAAAATCAACATTTCTATTTTTAACATCTAGAAAACATGCATATGAATCTTAACGGATAAATACATTTTGGTGACATTAATAAAAAACAACACACACAAATGTAACAACTAATTATAATCATTTGTCAAATCTATTGATTGTTATTTTAAGTACTTTTATAAAAAAATTAAAAAGGCAAAGACAATTTGTAAAATAAAATATGAAACATTTGAAGTGTTTCATTTCATGTTAAGCACTCGATATGTACTTGCTCCTCAAAATGAAACCAAATTATGTCGTGATCTTCCTTGATTAAAACAATACATCATTCGTCAATTTAGGAAATTTATGATCAGCTTTATCAAAAGTTAAACGGTCGGACACCCACTCCCAGTAACTATTAAATAGGTTTAAAATGCTAAAAATCTAAAAAGCAAAAAGGAACTCGCACTGGTTGAAGACAAGGTCATTTTCTCTCATGATTCACAACTAAGAAATAGTAAGAAGTTCTACTCTTTCATTAAATCAAACACAAAAGAAAATTGCGGAGTATTACCTTAAGTAAAGATGGACAAACCTTAATAGATCCTAAAATCATAGAAGACATATTAAATAAGCAATTTGACTCTGTCTTTTCCCGTCCCCAACTTTTTAGTTTTTCCCAATCATGCAAAGAGCTGCTTACTCCACAAAAATACCCAAAAATGCCAAATGTCAACAAAGCAGAGGATGAAGTAAAGAAAGTCTTTATAAAAGGTGTAAAACTAAGCAAAGTATCTGGTCCCGACCATATCTTCCTTAAGGGTACGATAGAACTTCACATTAAATAGCCCCTGTTTTCGAACACATCTTTCAAATCAGGTACCGTCCCCACTGTCTATAAATAATTACAGGACTATCTCATTAACATAAATTCCATCTAAGCTAATGGAGGCATATAATGGTCTTTTATTTGACAAGAATGATATCCTAAGCCCTTTTCAACATGATTTCAGGTCAAAACATAGCTGTGAAGCCCAGCTCATCTCTCTCGAGAAGTTTAACTACATAGACTAGGTTTCATATCATCTCATGGACAAGGCTGTTTCTATATGGTAGCGCCAAATAGGTTGTTGTCGAGAGTCAAAATTCTGAAAAATATCTGTTCTTTATGGTGCCCCTCAATGTTCGGTATTGGGACTTTGCCTCTTTCCTTATGTTATATAAATGACCTCCCTGACAATGTCAGTGGCAACGTTAGACTATTTGCAGATGACACAGTAGTAAACCTTACAATTAAATCTCCCAAAGATACCCAAACCCTCCAAAAAAATGTCAACAGCTTATGAAAACTGGAAATACAATTGGTCCACGGAGTTAAATCCAGAAAAATGAGAAATCCGTAGAAGCAATCGTAAGAAATAGCATGTAATATTTCCTTATAAACTACATAGTCAATAGCTGATGTCCAATACTGCTAAATATTTCAGTGTAACAATTCTAATTGTAAAGATCTATCTTTGACCAATTATATAAATAATATAACAGCAAAAGCAAATAACTCACTCAGATTCGTAAAGATAAATGTCAATGATTGTCCACGGTTTGGCATCCTTGGAAATAATATCTGGTTTTCAAAATAGATCAAATTCAAAGGTCAGCTGTCATGCAGCTATGTATATATAAATGCCTACAATTTAAACCAGTTGTGTATCTAAGATGTTACAAGATCTAAATTGGCAACCTCTAGAGCAGAGAAGCAACATCTGCTCCTCTATACAATCCAACACTATCTTCTGAAGGTTAAAAAAATCAACATCTGACATCCACCGGAAACCTGAACTATCTGATATCATACTCAAGAACACAAAAATAACCCGTATTTATTTTTTTCCAGAAGTATTTGTCTGTGGAACGGTCTACCCACAGATATGTAAACCATTTTATTACATTTAGCCTCATGGTCTACCTGTGCCATTACAAAATAGTCTCAGTTTTTTTTTAATTTATACAACTTCTCTAGACGGTAATTTTAAATCAGAGATTCCGAAAGAGCTTATGGCTTTACCAGACCGAAAAAAATATTTTCTTTTATATTTGATGTAATATTTCTAAAATCTTCACCAAACCGACTGATATTTTTCAAGACATGCCAGGTGGTCAGACGGTTTTGGGAACCCTGTGTAAATTTCTGCTCCATATTTATTTATTTATTTGTTTTATTCGAAGTCATCAACTACTTTCAAGAGTGAAATATGGCGAGTGATGTTATCAGAAGACATGTGATTTGTTTCACTAACCGAAAAAGTAAATACACTAATTGTGCGAAGCAATATATATTAACAAGAACGAATAGGCAAGGCACGACAGACGCTGTTTTTTATTCACTGTATATAAATTTTATAGAAATAATTGATGTCAAACGTTCTCTACCACTTAAACAATCTTTCTAGTAAGAGCTAATTTAAGACTTAAGGTTTTGATATAGATATATATATATATATATCTACTGTTTGCACAATAAACTGTGTAGACAACTGTATTATGCAGATAAATGTCAAAAAATATTATTTGTTTTATTTTATCTATTTTTTCATTACAGTGCACTTTGGCAACAAATTAAAAACAAGCAAATACTATCTGTGTATTTGGGATACTTTTGAATGTTTCTGTTCTATTTTAATACCTTGCATCCTTCTCAATTAGCGTGGTGAAAGAAATCCGAGAGATTCCAAATGGTGTTTACAAATAGAAATGGCGGGTGCAAAGAAATATCCTGATCTGGTAATTACCACTTAAATAGCCATTTGATATCTTTGAAACACCCATGCTATTAAAATGAACATTTAAGTTCATCTAAATGTAAATCTGGCAACATAGAACTAGATCTACTTGAAGGAAATACTGCACAAATTATTTATGATCATTTCGGTCCCAAAAGTTTCGACCCATATCACCCAAGACGTTTTAATTGTGCAATCTAAAATAGTAAAATGTTCAAATATAATCATCAGTGAACCTCATTTTGCATTGTTTATAATAATTAATAAAGACTAAAGTATACAAGCAGAGAAAAAAACAGCGATAAGTAAAAATTGTCTGCAATGACTGTGTTAGACCACAGGTGCTAGTTGCATTGATTTGACCTAAAATGTGTTTGACCTTGTTATTTATACAATAAAATATCAATATATTAAAAAAAAAAAAAAAAAAAAATTTTTTTCACTGTTATATTATTATAGACAAGGTATCAACATTCAGGTGCGAAAAATTATGGGTACGCCGGTTATCTGTGTTAAAATTTTTCACCGGGCGGTAATATCGTCGGATTTTTGCATGGAATCAATGCACAATATATTTTTCTATTACAATTTACTATTTGCAGATCCCCAGTTAACCGCTATGTAATGTTATAAAGCCCGAAAGTAAGAAATCACCCAGGTCCGAAAGATGAGACCGTCATGACATGTACATTATAACCTGGTATTTACGCTTGAAATACATCAACAAAGAGATAAAATGGGTCGAATACACATGCAAACAACTGGATTTTACATACATTTTAATGGTGTTATGCTCCACAAGTCGAACTCAGTCCTATGAGCCTGTATTTAAAGAAATATTCTACATGTAGACGATATTTTAAGAAGGTAATTCCTACCGGAAGTATTCTCCGGCTTCCGTTTCACATACATTGACATAGAGCGAAACAGGGAACCAAGCATGTGTTGCGGAGAACACTTCCGATTTAGGAATAACCTTATACATGTAGAATTTTTCTTAAAATACGGGCACATAGGACTTAGTGCCACTCGTGGAGGATAAAACCATTTAAAAGTATGTAAAAACCAGTTGTTTGCATGTGTGTTTGACCCGTTTAATCTCTTTGTTGATGTATTTCAAGCGTAAATACCAGGTTATAATGTACATGTCATGACGGTCTCATCTTTCGGACCTGGGTGATTTCTTACTTTCGGGCTTTATAACATTAACTAGCGGTTAATTGGGGATCTGCAAATAGTAATTGTAATAGAAAAATATATTGTGCATTGATTCCACGCAAAAATCCGACGATATTACCGCCCGGTGAAAAATTTTTAAACACAGATAACCGGCGTACCCATAATTTTCGTACCTGAATGTTGCATACCTTGTCTATAATAAATATAACAGTGAAAAAAAAATTTTTTTTTTTTTTTTTTTTTTTTTATATATTGATATTTTATTGTATAAATAACATGGTCAAACACATTTTAGGTCAAATCAATGCAACTAGCACCTGTGGTGTAGACACAAGCAGACTTGCAGATTTAATTATTTTTTTATTTATTATACATGACTTCTTGTAAAAACTCACTGTAAGTAAAAACAGATGATATCAAACTAAGAAAAGCTCGACATTCTACTTAATTACTATTGTTTTGTATTTGTCTTCAGCAGCAAAGGTAAATAAGCCGAACAGGCACTCACATTTTGTGTCATTTATTAGGCCCATTCATATAATTGACCTTTTCGAAAACCTAGCTAAACACCGTTTTCCGGTACGTTACGGATTTAGCTCTGGGGAATTACACCAAATGAAGTACATAACACTATTACATGATATTTCAATTTTTCTATCATTTCTTTACCGTTTAAGGTGAAACAACTTGATGTGTTTGAAAATAATCAATGTTCCTTAATATTTATTGCCAATTGTTTTCAAAATATTAATGGTTTATAATGAAAATCAATTAAATTAAAACAGTCGTAGTGACATTTCCATAATAAATAGAGACATTTTCTGCGTAAACTTATGTATTAACTTTATTTTTTTTTGTACAGAATTATTCATTCAATCATATTTAATTATTTTCTTTCAAACAAAAAACTTTTTTTATTTCAATTTAATTAAAAACAGGCAAAAAACATAAAGTTCAATTTTACACTCAATTATAGGTGAATTCCCCAGAGCTATGTACTGAAAGTACTGGAGTACGGCTTTTAGCAAGATTTTCGAATTCGTGAATTGACAACATATGGAAAGTAATATTTATTTGAGAAACAAACCACATAAAATATAAGAAATTAACTTTTGCACTTTCATCTGAGCTAGAAACTGACAAGGAGTTATGCAAAAATTCTCTGATGGGAGTGGTGCACTATTATTTTCGTCTCGAAGACACTCTCATTACATTTCTGAATTCTCAAGGGACTCACTCTTTTTTTTGGACAAATATTCTGGCAGAGTTGTGAGTGGACTCCTTGTTCCTCGGATGATTTTGCATATTCCTTGTTATCTGAACTGTATATTATACAACTGAACGGAACATACATAAATATTTCCCAGAACATTCAGATGTCAGCATTCTTAAATACAGAGTAGTTTATTAACCTAAAATAAAATGCTATTAAAATAATATTAGATGACGCCTATAGATTTTAAGGTCCCTGGCTCAATGGTCAAGGTCACAGGGGCTTTAAGTTCAAAAAGCTTGTCCCTCAATTGCTTAAGAATGCTTTGGTCAACAGTCTTCATATTTGGCATTGAGGTTGGTTATGACAAGTAGATGACCCCTATTGATTTTGAAGTCACTAGGTCATAGGTCAAGGTCAGAAGGGCCTTGACTATAAAAGCTTGTCCGCCCAATAACTTAAGAATCCTTTGACCCACTGTCTTTATATTTTGAATTGAGGTTAGTCATGACCATTAGATGACCCCTATTAATTTTGAGGTTACTGGGCCAAAGGTCAAGGTCACAAGGGCCTTGACTTCAAAAATTTTGTCCGCCCTATAACTTAAGAATCCTTTGACCCACAATTTTCATATTTGGCATGGAGGTTGATCATGATCATAAGGTGACCCCTATTGTTTTTGAGGTCACAGGGTCAAAGGTCAAGGTCACAGGATTCTTGATTATAAAAGCATGTCGGCTCAATTGCTGAAGAATGCTTTGGTCAACAGTCTTCATATTTGGTATTGAGGTTGTTTATGACTAGTAGATGCCCCTAATGATTTTTAGGTTACTGTGCCAAAGGTCAAGCTCACATGGGCTTTTACTACAATTAGCTTGTCTGCTTAAATGCTTAAGAATGCCTGTCTGCAGTGAATTGATTTTGACATTTTCACATTTGAAGCATGTAGAATACATAACTTAGCAATGTACTGGCTTACTAACCTCAAATTTGGCAGGGAGGGCTGTCCTAGAGCCCTAAATGGCCACTGTTGATTCTGACAAAGTGGTTTGCGGGGGGGCAGGGGGGGGGGGGGTTTAAAAGGGGGTATTCACGCCAAGACAGTGACAGTTCTAGTATTAAAAGTGTCTAATAATAAAAGTGCATTAATAGCCCACAACCATAATATACATGTATATTTATTTTCTATATACATTGTACGTGTATGGGGGTATGTGATGCTAAATTATTTTTTTGATTAATTATTGATGGAATATTGGTTTCCTTCCTGAGCAATAACATGAACATGCTTTTTTTTAACTTAAGGACGTTTTCGGTAGTTTTTATATAGACAAAATTAAAACTGTTCAATAGAATTTCTTTAAACTTGGCATGTTGTTAGAAAAGTCATTTAAAGTTTACTGAACTTAGGGCTTGTTGTGCAAATAGAGATAACATGTTAATAATTATAATTGGCTATTAGATACTTTATTATTATTATACCCCCACCACAAAACGTGGGGGGAGGGGGTCTATAATGGATTCGCTTTGTCGCGTCGGTCGGTCCGTCCGTCTCCATTTTTGTGTCCACTCTATAGATCCTATACCAATTGAAGGATTTTCTTCAAACTTGGCTCAAATGTTTACCTCATCAAGGGGATGTGCAAAACCCATGTTGCCTATGTGTCAGCTCAAGGTCAAGGTCACAATTGAAGGTCAAATATCAAACACAATCAAATATTAGACAGTATGTTGTGTCCGCTCTGTAAGTCCTACACTACTTGAAAGATTTTCTTCAAACTTGGCTCAAATGTTCACCTCAACAAGGGGATTTGCAGAACCCATGTGTCGGCTCAAGGTCAAGGTCACAATTGAAGGTCAAATATCAAACAATCAAATATTAGACAGTATGTTGTGTCCGCTCTGTAAGTTTACACTAATTGACAGATTTTTCTTCAAACTTGGCTCAAATGTTCACCTCAACAAGGGAATGTGTAGAACCCATGTTGCCCATGTGTCAGCTTAAGGTCAAGGTCACAATTGAAGGTCAAATATCAAACAATCAAATATTACATGGTATGTTGTGTCCGCTCTGTAAGTCCTACACTAATTGAAGGATTTTCTTTAAACTTGGCTCAAATGTTCACCTCAACAAGGGGATGTGCAGAGCCCATGTTGCCCATGTATCAGCTCAAGGTCAAGGTCACAATTGAAGGTCAAATATCAAACAATCAAATATTACACAATATGTTGTGTCCGCTCTGTAAGTCCTTCACTAATTGAAAGATTTTCTTCAATCTTGGCTCAAATGTTCACCTCAACAAGGTAATGTGCAGAACCCATGTCACTCTTTTTTGGCGGCTTAAGGTCAAGGTCACACTTGAAGGTCAAAAATTGACTTAGAAAATATTCTCAAATTTTAACATGTAATTTGAATATTTCTGAAACTAGAAATGGTATTTGCTTGAAACTTAAAATATATATGAAGTGTCACAATTAAGATATGCTGGTCAAGTTTCATAACTCTGTATTGCATTTTGACAAAGTTATGCCCCTTTTTAAGTCTTTAAATTTACATACAATCAATACTAAACAATATGTCATGTCCGCTCTATAAATGCTATACTAATGGAAGGATTTTCTTCAAACTTTACTTAATTGTTCACCCTAACTGGGCAATGTGCAGAATCCATCTTACCCTTGTGCCAGCTTAAGGTCAAGGCCACACTTGAAGGTCAAAAATTGACTTATAAAATGTTTAGTACATTGGTAAAATGAAAGGTTATTTGTAACTGTTTTGAACATGATTTGATAATAAATATTTATACTATTACCTGTACAATTAGTCTTTTTTTCACCAGAGATAATTTCTTTTTATGTATTTGTGCCACTAAAGTTATTCCCTTAACCACCTTTCCAATTTGTCTTCTGTCAAGGACATTGGTGGGGGTATGAATCGCATTCAGCGATAGTTCTAGTTTTATAATGTCTTAGTTCAAACATTTTCAGAGATTTTTATTCATGCGAGGTTTAATCAACCATGAGAGAGATCAAAGATGTCATCATTATTTGAAATCTGCAGCAGAGTGCACATCAAGGGCAGTTGTATCTCTAGAGTTAGCTGATGAACCTATTAGATCAGTAAAACAAGCCAGGAAACTTGAAGGGGTATGTCAAATACAGAGTGTTCACTAGCCATGAAATCATGAGGGTCATTTTGACTTAAGTTTTACCGACTACAAAGTCAAATCCCAATGATTTTGACCCTCCAGTTAAAATCCTGAGCGTCAAGTCAGGCCTTTTGGAAATTTGAAGGGTCAAAGAGTCATTTCAAGGGTCAAATGGCCACCCTGAAATAGTTTATTTTGTTATATGTTACATGACATACCATATATTTCAACTTATTCTATTTACATATAAAAGTGAGTCTTCCATAAAGAATGGTCTGTAATACCATTAATAATTATGTTGATAATATTTAGTATCATACATGACATGAAACCACAACAGAATTAGGCCAACCTTAAAAAAATGTTTGTTTGCAGTAACGCGACCGACTCACAAAATTTGCACCTACTCAAAAATTTTTTTCATGGTCTGGATAAAAAAAAAAATTTTTGAATCAGAAAATTATGCCTTGTGCTTTGTTTTCGTTCTTTAAAAGGTTAATAGAAGAAATAAAATGTAGGTCTTATTAAATTAGAATTCAGTTATCAATTTATTAATTGTTACCAGATTATCAAAGCATATATTGTCCAGCATTTTGAAATTCCATGTTTATTTGGGAGTACAGTTCAATAAAAAAAAAAAAATCGACCTACCTACCTACCTTGAAAATTCTGGGTCGGGTTACTGCAAACAAACATTTTTTTAAGGATAGCCTTATATATGGATGTTGTTGTTAGGTGTGTAATACATAATATTTATATAAAACAGGGCTTCCATTTAGTGTGAAAATTTGGAAGTCAGAGACTGCAAAATGTCTTGACATTTGAAGTCGCATTATATCACGCCCGGCAAACTGTCGCTCCACTTCAAAATTGTGGTGTACGGTAAAATGAGCGAACGGCTTTTCCGAGATAGAGCTGAAGGCCGATTTAAACGCCTAATTGTAAGTATTGTTTATGTTTTTGTCTTGTTATTTATTTAAGTTGTATTTTTTTCGAAAAACGGAAAATGTGGTTCCGTGTAGGATTGATTTAGGCTTCCAATGATCTAAGATGTTACAAAAAGAAAATTATATTAAGCCCGGGAGAACTTTTCTCCCTGACGAAGCGAACGATGATTTGTAGAATATTGAACTTCCCAACCATAGAAATGCCATACCTTTCGATTTCTTGAAAAAATGTATTAGTAAATTATCAACTCGTTATAAGAACTTGGCCTTCGTGCAAAATAAATTACTCCTGAAGGATTTCTTAAATTTGTAAACCGATATTTTTCGAAAGTAGTGGAGTGAAAAGGCGGGAGATGGAGCAAAAGGTTCGATGTTGAGCGCAAGGCGATATAAATTTGACCTATTAGGAGGAGCGTAGTCAATGATTTTTATAAATAAAAGCTATAGAAGTTAAAATAGACATGATCAAGTGTTAAGACCGATATATATATATATACCTTTTAAAGAGAACTAATAAAGTGTGATATCCTTTCAACGACTATAGCGTAATAAATGTAATCGCGAAGGTGTCACCTATGGCTGCCGTGTAGATTCCATTATTTATGTTCGAAATTTGGATGAGGCCCGACCATTGAATCATACACATGTATGCATGGCATAATACAGGATGCCACTTATTCGAGGTCAATCATGATTATTGACACGGTTATTTACATTTAAAAACGTGTGTCCGTGCAAAGTGAGGCAGAACTCAGTCGGTGTACGGACTAAATTATCAATAATATAATAGACCTAGTTATAGTAGAAATTTCTACTTACACTTTCAGACGAAAGTAATAAACTAAACAACAATGCTAACTAAGGGAGGAAGTATCTTGAAACATAATTGGAACACGTGTTATATCCTTATAACGACTGACACCTTGTCAACCATTTTCATAGCGATTCCCCACCTTACAAATTCATGAAAACGTGGCTTATTTGTGTTTTTGCTCAGAACAGGTACGTTAGAGCTATTAATTACAGAAAGTCATTGTGAACTGAACTTGGTAGTAGTGATCCATTTAATTTAATATGTTCCATGCATTGCATAATTTTGTTTCTGTTCTGCACCTTGAATATCTAACTTTCGAAAAACATAACATTTTGGCATGAACAATCGAGTTACACGTACCTGCTCGGAAACATTTGTTCGCGGTAGAACTAAAAATATTCGATTTTGTCGCATTTGCACGGACACACGTTTTTAAATGTACATAACCGTGTCAAAAATCATGATTGACCTCGAATAAGTGGCATCCTGTATTATGCCATGCATACATGTGTATGATTAAATGGTCGGGCCTCATCAAAATTCGAACATAAATAAAGGAATCTACACGGAAGCCATAGGTGACACCTTCGCGATTACATTTATTACGCTATAGTCGTTGAAAGGATATCACACTTTATAAGTTGTCTTGAAAAGGTATATATATCGGTCTGAACCCTTGATCACGTCTATCTTAACTTCTATAGCTTTTATATGTAAAAAATCATAGACTACGCTCCTCCTAATACGTCAAATTAATATCGCCTTGCGCTCAACATCGAACCTTTTGCTCCATCTCTTGCCCTTTCACTCCACTACTTTCGAAAAATATCGGTTTACAAATTTAAGAAATCATTCAGGAGTAATTTACTTTGCACGAAGGACAAGTTCTTATTACGGGTCGATAATTTACTAATACACTTTTTCAAGAAATCCGAAAGGTATGGCATTTCTATGGTTGGGAAGTTCAATATTCTACAAATCATCGTTCGCTTCGTCAGGGAGAAAAGTTCTCCCGGGCTTAAAATAATTTTCTTTTTGTAACAGCTTAGATAATTGGAAGCCTAAATCAATCTTACACGGAACCACATTTTCCGTTTTTCGAAAAATACAACTTAAATGAGTAACAAGACAAAAACATAAACAATACTTACAATTAGGCGTTTAAATCGGCCTTCCGCTCTATCTCGGAAATGCCGTTCGCTCGTTTTACCGTACACCACAATTTTGAAGTGGAGCGACAGTTTGCCGGGCGTGTATATAGGTAAAGAAGGAAAGCATTATATTTTGGAAGTCAGGAGTAAATGACACCCAAACTTTCACTAATGGAAGCTCTCAGTCTGTATTCATCATTTAAATGTTCATACTAAATTACTTAGAACACTATCAATTTTTTTTCCAAGCAATATTTTACTGGAATAAAAAAAATTTATTTCTTTTCTTTTATTATCATTATTTGGAAAATGTGCCCAATTGTAGGCCAATCCACTAAAGTGTATTACCTGTTGGAAAGGGGGTGTCCGTGGCCCAGTGGTTAAGTTCGTTTACTTCAAACCACTTGCCCCTCACTGCTGTGGGTTCGAATCCCTACAGGGACTTTGGATTTGTTTATGTGAGGAAGCTATCCAGCTATCTTACGGAACTTCGGTGGTTCTACTCAGGTGCCCGTTCGTGCCTGAAATAATGCACGGAAGGGCACCTGAGGTCTTCCTCCACCAGTTAAGCTGGATCAGCGCCATATGACCTATACTGTGTTGGTGTGACATAAAACCCAATCAAACAAACCTATTGGAAATATTTTAGATAGAATATGATTAACTTTTTTTTTTTACTTCAGATTGGATGTGAGACTTGCTCAAGACTGACCAAGCTAGAGAAAGAGAAAGAATTTAGTTGCCTAAGGCCTTTAGGTGGACGTTTTGTAAGCAGTGCAGGAGGTATTCTTGTTGCTTTGTTAGATGCTACAGAGGAGGCCAGACATAAAGATAATTGGTTAGTTTATTATTTTGTTTAGTATAGAATAAGATATAGTAACAGAGCAGTATTCAGTAAACCCTTTAATTTAGAATCTGATAAATGACTAATAGATGTTATCCGCATTGCAGCAAATGTGGGTTTTCCCCCAACTAATCCCAGGGTACAGTTTCACAGTGCATTACCATTTACAATAGAATGGTCAGTACTAATATGTTAACCAAGTTGTAAATGTTACTTGTGCCCCAGGATTGGAAGTGGAAAGCCGACATTTCCCATGTTTCTGAAAATCAATTGTTTTATATATATTTTGTAGCTTTTTGTACTAGTTTTATCCTATTTCTAACTTTGAGAAAAGTATGACTGTACAAAACAGCACTGATATGGCTACAAACTAGATGACATACATGTATAAAGAGGATATTGAATGAGTGTAAGTCTAATACTGAATTTATTGAACAAATGAAATAAAATGATATTATGGGAGCCTCTGGCTATATATAAAACAGTAAAAGTTAAAATAACAAACCTTTGCTTAATTTATGTAATTTAATTATACCTCTACCGGTTTCACAATAACATCAGGAGGATAATGAAAATGAAAATATATGTAAGATTGATTTAAATCTATTTAGAAACACTTTACAAAATCGGGACGTAATATTACTATAACTATAACATAATTTATTTACAGCAGTCCAGGTAAAGTGATTTTAGTTCCTGAAGATAAAGTGAAGAGTAGAGCTATCAGACTGACAGAAGAACAATTTACGGACGGCACTAATGGTTGGTCGCTTTTTTCTGCTCTCATGTGCATTATATACAAAAAATATGTATCTGAAAAAGAAACATTGTTAATTGTTACAACCTGTCAAAATAAGTAAAGATTTGATCATGCACGTTTTATGCTCTTAACAAATTATCAACTGAATAACTCATAATGTGAGTGCTTGTAATTAATTAATAAATTTACTTTGAGTGTGGAGTAGTCAAAATCATTAGGTAAGAGGTATTGATATAGTCATGAGTTAGGGATTTCATTTAATGAAATTTGATTATATTATTAATTCAATATGATTATAACTCTTAACATGCAAGAACTGACAGTGTGTAGCCTTTGCCATCAGTATATAGCCAGTTTAGTCTAACCAGTGGTAGCTCAAGTTTTGTACTTTCATATTAAAATCCCTTCAAACTATGAATGGACTGTTCCAAATTTAAAACGAGACAAATCCATTACAAATTGAAGTAGGTTAAAGGTTTCATTTATGACTTTCATAATCTGAGCCAGCCTGCAAATCAGTTAGAGCACGAGACTTGTATTCTCGACATTGTAGGTTCGATTCCCGGGCTGCCCACTTAATATTACTGATCAGTCTTAAGTATGAGACTTTAAATCAAGGTCCCATGTATGAGTGCTTAAACACTTGGCATGCTAAAGAACCAGGAGATGCTTCAGGAATTGGGGCATCTTTCAGTATCTTGCACTATCCTCCAAAATCTAAAATGACTAAATACTCTTCTGGAGTACTGTCCTTGTTCTTTAGCATGCTAAGTGTTTAAGCACTGAAACTAGTCTCTATACTTGTTGTGTAGGTTTGCCAAGGATAAAATTTAAAGACATTAAACACGTTAATCTGATCTTAATTTGACAGAGTTTTGTAAAGCTTGGTGGCGTCTGGAAGTGTTAATAAAAAGAGGATATATACGACGAAGAAGTCAGAAAAAATCACCAGTGTTACAACTGATGCCTTTAGGAAAGGACATTGCTTTAAGATTGAGAGGTACATGTATAGCTATTCTATTAATCGTAAAACAAAATAAAAGTTCACATGTAATGAGAAATTTAAAAATATGATATTGACCCCAAGATAACTTTCAGATTATTAGGATATTTCATTATTACTTTGATTTCAGCAGAATTGTGTTATTAAAAATATTGTGTTTCCGTCTTTCACTATAGTAACATTATTTAATGATATTATAAATTTGAGCAATTTTTTTATTTAATTTTTATTTTCATGATTTAGCTCAGAATGGTTTGACTACAACTGTACCAGATATAAACCAGGTATCAGACTCATCATGTTCTGTTCCTAGACTTCCTTCCTTGTGTAAACCAGGGGAGATAAGTCAGACAGCGACAGGGGAGGTAAATGCTCAGTATCCTAAACCAGAATTAGAGGATTCATTGTACACAAATGATGATGGTAAAGATGGGTGAGTATTTTTCTCATTTAGACATATCTACAGAAACAGCTAGACTTAAGTTTCTTGAATTGTCATGTATGATATGAAGGGTCAACAGGGCATTGCCAAGCTATCAGCAGGGGCCGAAATAAGGCCCAATTCCCAATCCAAAATAGCTTCTTATTTTTCTCCCAATTTGTGAACAAAAATAAAAATTCCCAACAGCAGCCCAAAAATATTAAACTGTTATTATTTCTGAGAAAATTTTGAATGTTTTGACATGCTTTTATTAAATGGTGACAGGTTATATTATATGATTATAATATATATGTTAAAAAAATCATGTATTATTTAATTTTTCCACTTTTCAAAATTTCTCAAATTTCCTAAAATGTTGAATATTTTTTTCCCAATTTATGCCAGGGGCCTTATCCCAAAATAGCTGGTAAGGGCACATGTAAATTATAACTATGTCTGATAAAAATATATATTGTTGAAATAATTGGATGTTTTATTGTTGTTGTTTTTTTTCAGTGTTGTTTTATTGGTTGATAGACGAGAATTGGGAGGAGAGAAAAATGGTCTAGGGGAGGTAATTTATAGATTTTATTATTTTAGATTTAATGCTTGATAACAATAACTAGGGGTGTTATGTTTAAAAGGGTTTGGTTCGATTTTAACAAAAAACAGGTTAGAAAATACAGAGGTTAGTATAAGACCAACAGCTGAAGAAACTTTAGATTGGGTTTTAACATTAAGCGTATAACATGGTTATTTTAAGTCGCTGTTTAAATGTTTAGCATTTATGTAAACCACAACACCCCTAAAAAAATCTGTATGCTTGTTATAGTTTATGTCACAACTTGTTTGCCAAAAAAAAAAAGAAAAAAAAAAGGATTTAGTCACCAACCAACCCTAATAAAAAAAGAGATGTTCCAAATAAACAACTTCGAAGACTGACCCTGCCCTGTCCTTCATGTTAATGTTTCTCACCATTTATTTTAAAGCAGAAATTAGCATTTTTGTTTTTTTAAAAAAGGTTATGAATTGATTTTTTTCTATTTCAATGATTTTAGCTGTGTGGGTTGTTAGGTAACAGAGGAATATGTTATAAAACTCAACATCTTAAGACTGGAGATTACAGTTGGATGTGGCGAGTGAATAACAAACAAATTATTCTACCATGTCTGGTAGAGAGGAAAAGAGCTGGTAAGAACTGTTTATTTGTCAACTGAAAATTCTATAAACTGTAAAGATATAGAAGATATTTGTTTAGTTCAGTGTAAGATTGGAATATATTTCACCGAGTGAGCACCAAAAGATATATTTCACGAGTGGCGCAGCCACAAGTGAAATATGAACTTTTGGTGTTCACAAGGTGAAATATATTTTCATCTTACACTAAACTATACAAATTTTCTTTTTATTTTACATGTATGCAAAGAAACATTTAAAAAGTTGTTTTAACCTTATACTAAATGAAAAGCGTGCCAAATAATAATACAACATGACATCATTTACGACGTCACATCACGTCAGTAAGTTGGTTTCAGTACTGTGCATGCTGGTATTTCACTGAAATAACGTAACAATCTTTATTCAACACAGTGAAAATTATCAAATTGATAATTTCACAGTTTCAAACAGTGAATTATCAGTTCTTTATTTCACTGATATATTTCTATAAACTACCGATAAGCATGTAATAAAATTATATTATATTATTAAAGGAGCTCCACTAAGGTCGAAAGCCTAAATACATAAAATTGAAATTCTTGCTTAGATCAAGCATACATGTATCACTTAAAATGGAAAAAATCTACAAAGGTAATAAACAAAATATGCTCTGAATGATCTGAAAATCTGCACACAAGTTATTGGTCTAAACCAATTTAAGTTGTACACAAGTCTCTGAAAAATATTTCTAGTCCTGTTGTGCAAAAAAAAATCCTCAGTGGAGGAACAGTGCAAGCTGTTTGCTATTCAGTCAGTTTATATTTTGAAAATTTTCTTCATAATATGATTGAAAGATAGACAATTCCAGATAAAATATTTCGCATGGAAAGGAGCATTTATAAGAGGGGGTGCATTTGTTAGGAAATTATTGGTACCGTATAATGTAGATTATGTTGTATGTCTTCAATAGATGATATAGTTCGTACATTGATGGAAGGCCGGTTCTGGTCTCAGGTCAACAAAATGAAGGAATGGAAACAAGATTTCACCAGGAAAGGAATACAATGTGCGGTACATTATATACTGGAGAGAAAACCAGAGGAATATGTTGTCAAGTGTGAAGATGGTTGTCAAGGCATTGTCAAGTGTGGAAATCCGACCTTGACACAGGTCAAGGTAAGTCACTGATATCTTACACTTGTTTATAAATATGAATTCAGTTGTAATTGTTTAAACAAGTGTGGAATAAATTACACAGGTCAATGTCCGTTATTGTCAAATGTAAAAATGTTATTTTGTATGGTGAAGTTTTGTTATTGTTCTGTGCTTTTTTAAGGGCCAATTTGGGGTAAAATTTCGATGAATCATTTTCTAAAATTGTGAAAAATTTTTTTTGAAATATGTCAAGGTGAATCACTTTCAAAAGCAAAATTGCCTTGGAAATATATGTATTTAGTGGTAGATCAATGTTTATTGTCAAAATCCTACTAAGTAGAGAAAGATGATTATAGAAGAATGGTTTGCAAATTTGACCTTTCGACACATTAAACTCTTGTTAATATTACAATAATTAATATTTTGTTCCCATTTATTTCGAGAAATTGAAAGTTACAGATGGAGGATCAGGTTTGTGCTAGTAAACTGATGGCTGGCTTTTGGTATGTGGCAGAAGCATTGACCTTGTGAATAAAGTGTCTGGCTCTCCACCCAAGAATGCAGAGTTTGAACCCTACTCGGGTCAATGGGAAGTTTCTTGTTATGACTTGTTTAAAAATTGTATGAATATTTTGTTGTTTGTAGATGGTGATAGAGGATTTAAAGAAACATCCTGACTTACTGGTGAAGGAAACTGATAATCTCAACATTACAGTGATACTGCTGGCATCTCTTACTGCTGAATTAAAGGAAAGGTTGGTGGCAGTAGTAGCATTATCTGTTAATAATTCAGTCATTGTCCTGTATACATTCAGAAATTTTTCTCTATCTCAACCCTGGCATTGGCATTAACAAATTGCTAAAGTTTTGGATTCAGCTCAACTTTTTAATAAAAACTGAAAAATTTAATATGAAACTTCTTAAGGTGATTACTTAATGTCACTTGCCAAAACCTGTGTCATTGAATTTTTATGCCTTCCTGATCTGTCTGTCACATAACTTTAACAGTGACATGGAAGTCCTCCAACCTACAGCCCCCAAACTTCACAGATGCATATACTTTGATGACCTCTACCTTTAAGGCTCACAGAGGTCACTGAGGTCACAGGTCATGGTCATCAGAGTCAAGCCCCCTGGGGGCATGTCATTCATTCTAACAGAGCACTTGTACTGAATTGTTTCTCGCTTGTGAACTCATATAGTTTTATGTTCTAAATCCTCAGCCACGTGACATATTCACTTGAAACTTCATTTATGTTTTCATGACACATCTCTTCATTATTCCCCTTTATAAACTTAGAAATTTATTGTCCACTTTTAAAATATTTGTCTACATATAAAATATTTGTCCATATTTATTTTATTGACTTGACACCTCATGCTTAATTTAAGTAATAATGTGTTGAAAAATATGATGGTTTGAAGGAAATGTATGTTTTTTTACCATTACAGGGTTAATAAAGGTGATTTTGACGAGCTGTTAAAACTAGAGGACTCTATGAAGAAATCTCAATCATGTCAAACTAAAACTTCTACTGATGAAATTAACAATGTTTGGAATAAACCATCAGCTGGTAAAGTAAAGTCAACTACCAATTCATTGTCATCTGATTTAAGATTTGATGAGGAATTGAGACTGGCTATTGAGATGTCCAGGGCTGAAAAGAATAAAATTGATGAGATCTTGGAAAATTTAAATAGTTCAAAGAAGACACAGCATGGTCATTTAAATGTTTCAAGGACAAAAGCGAAACATACCAGTAGTAAAGGCTCTAAAGAGAGTAATAAAGTAGAGAGTGATTGTGTTGTTATCGATGACGATAGTAATGATGTTGTTGAGGTTGGCAATGTCATTGTTGTTGATGATGACGATGTTGATGATGATGATGATGATGATGATGAACTTGCTTTAGTTCTGGAAAGATCCAAGTATGACACATGTAATAAAACAGAAGGTGTGGCTGATGTTGCTAAAGGTGGAGCTATACCTAAAACCCGACCCCTGATGCAGTACCACTGCAGTGAGGGTGGATCCCTGAACTACCCAACTCCCAGTAGAACTGCCAGAGAAAATCATGCAGCCACGTACAGGCCCAAAATAAATCAGAGACAATCTGTACATAGTGTTGATTCTCCTAAGCAGGGTGGAAATGATGCTAGGTCACAACCCTTGACATCAGTGCCATGTAATAAAGGGTCACCAGCTATGTTCAGATCTTCAAACTGTACAACAGATGTTAATGAGAGTGTAAAAAGTTTCCAAATTCAAAATACTTATCCTGGTATTGACAATGAAAGTAATAAAACTATTGATTTGTTAAATGAATCTCATACGGAAGAAAATACCAAATTGGTGAAAAGAAAACAAAGAAAGAAAGATTTTGTTTTCCAGCCAGATGAACACTGCATAGAAGAATCGTCTGTTAATGATAGTGAACTTATACCTAAGAAAAAGCCCAGGACATCTGACTTCAATTTTACCCCATCCAGAGACTGTATAGAAATAAATGTAGTTCAGACGTCAGTTGACAAAGATAATAAAAAAAGATGTAAACGAAATGCTGGAGGCAAGCTTGGTAAAGGATCTAAAAGTAGAAAAAGAGAAGATGAAGCACTATATAAAGTAGTTGCAGAGTCAGACATGGGTGACTCTTTAAATATGGAACATACAGACGGCATAGAAGGTTTAGATGTTAGTGAAAAGGCAAGCAAGGTTGTTGAAATTTTAGAAAATGATAACAACAATGGATATTGTTCTGATGAAGATATTTTTGCTGACACTGACAGTACAAACGATAATCAGACCGTAACATCGGTGGAAGAACGTGATAATGAAGAGAGAAATAATGAAATTTATTCAGGAAATGTGGATAATTCTGGTCAAAATGGTGAATTATCATTGTCTCGAGGTAGTGATAGTCAGGATAGCTTGCCGGACATTGATCTTGATATCGCTACACCTGTTAAACACACATCGGACACAGGTAATTCCAAAATGATGAAAAGTAGTCCACAGATTTTGATTCAAGATGCATATACATGTGGTGCCAGTTGTTCTAATACCAACACGAACAAAATGAATTATGATGGTTATAAAAATATTGACCAAAAATTAGATCACTCCAGGTTTAGTTCAGGGCAGGAACGAATCGATTCCGGATACGACTCAGATACTTTGAATGTTAATAACAGTGAGATAGAAAATAAAGTAGAGCTTGTGATGTCAGTGTTACCTCATATAGGAAGAAATTCCATTAGGAAAATGTTGAAGAGTTGTGGTAATAATGTGGAGTTGTGTGTTACACAATTCTTGGAAGGAAATGATGAAATGTAAGATGACTCAAAAGTGGTTGATATTGACAAATGTTGTTGTTTGAATTTTAAAACAAGAAAATATCTAGTCATTGTTGTTGTTTTCTTTAGAACATCAAATAATGGTGATTTTTATAGCATTTTTGTACGTTTTGTATGATACATCGATTTTTCTCTTTTTTTGTTATATGTTTAGTTTTGTAGGTTTAGTTTATGCATAGTCTAGTCATGTAACTAATTGAGCATTGAGAGAGCCTTGGATCATTAATGTTGATATGTAACTGTAACGGTTCTACAAAACTGAGTATTGTAACACCTGGTGGAGTGGAGGGACAGGTGTAATGGTGGGGAGGGTGAAACGGAGGTAGTACATCTTTCAATAATACAGCTGGAGATTTCACAATTTAACTTCCTAAATGTTGACAATCATGTAACCAACAAAAACATACAGAGATGCCAGCAATCAAGAAATGTAGATAGTCACTTTATCACTTAATAAGTATTGCCAACTTTATGCCATGTAGAAGATAACCTTTAAAATAGTTACTCACATGGCAAATCTAGTTATATGGCAGGAAATATCTAATAGGCATCAGGTGGTACAATGATTCAACAGTTTTTGATTTGTCATCTAAGATTTATTAATTTGTTGTTATGACAATTTAGGGTTGTTGTTGATTTTTGCTTTTTTTCATACGTAATGAGAGATGGAAAGGATAAATCAGCTCAGACTGAAAGCTCATGTTTATTAAGACATGAAATGTTTGTTACTTTAAGAAAACATTTTGGTTTACAGTGAATGTTTTATCTCCCTTTGTATGCAAGACGAGAAGTTTTAGGTATTTGACTCTGAAGTTATTTTAGAATGAGTGATTTTATCTCCTTAATTTGTTTGTGAGTTTTTATTATGAAAAAAATCCAAAACATTTGATTTTCTGTTATATTTGATGTATTTAGTCATTAAAATAAACTTTAATTTGTCATTTTTTTAAAGGCATGAATATTTGATGTTGTTTTATAAGACATAAAACGTAAGATTTTCTTTAATATTTGAATATATTTTATCTTCAGAGCCAACTCTATATTTGTAATTTTGTAAAAGCATGTCTTTTTAACACCGAGTTTCTTTTAATAAGGAGTGATTTTTTTGTCTTGTTCATTCATTAGTGACTTTTAATCATGAAAATATTTGATTTTCTGTTATACATGTATTTGATTAAATTAATTAGTCAGTGGTTCTACTCATTTGTGCCTAAAATAATGAACAGCTGGCCACCTGACGTCTTCCACCAACAGTAAAGCTTGAAAGTATTTGAGCCGTGTCATGACAAAACCAACATAATGGGTTTGCGACCAGCATGGATCAAGACCAGCCTGGGCATCCGTGCAGACTGATCAGGATCCATGCTATTCACTATCAGTATCTCTACTTGTAATAGGGTTTTTGTAAGCGAACAGCATGGATCCTGATCAGACTGCGCGGATGTGCAGGCTGGTCTTGATCCATGCTGGTCGCAAACGCATTATGTTGGTTTTTGTCATGGCGCAGCTCATTTATCTGTACACTCTTGTAGGTGCCCTTGTGGTTAATTTTTTTGTATGGTATTTACTCAACTTTAAGACAAGTTGCTCATAAGTTAGGCTCTATATTTTATTGTAAAATCAGAATGTATTTTCATTTTCTTTCATATGGCATTAGTTTGATGTCTTTGATAAAGCTTGAACTGTTTTGTATCAAATTTGAAACATCTATACTCTATTATTTTTTTCTGTCTGAGAGATGAAATTTTATAAAATGTATAGCAAATATTAAATGATTGAAACATGACATTTTACTAACATGATTACTAGTATTTGGTAATATCTTGATATCCCCAAAATTGATAATAATGGTCAGCTAAATAACTACACCCTCTTGTGATGGAGGGGCTGAAGTATCAGAATTGCAGCCACCTTTTATCCCTGCCGTTAGCTAAAATCATCTTTCCTGATTTGTCGCCATATGATCTTAAATAAGTTTTTTAGCTCACCTTAGCTTGCTCAGGGTGAGCTTTTAGGATCGGTGAATGTCCGTCGTCCGTCCACAATTGCTTGTGAACAATCTAGCGGTCGCATTTTTGCCTCAATCATCATCAAACTTGGTCAGGGTGCTTATCTAGTTGAAGCTCGGATGAGTTCGAACATGGGTCATCTCGGATGAAAAAGTAGGTCACTGGAGCTAAAAATAGAAAAACCTTGTTAACACTCTAGAGGTCACATTTTTGACCCAATCATCATCAAACTTGGTCAGGATGTTTGTCTAGGTGATAGCTGGGATGAGTTCGAACATGGGTCATCTCGGATGAAAAAGTAGGTCACAGGAGCTATATATAGAAAAACCTTGTGAACACTCTAGTGGTCACATTTTTGAACCAATCATCATCAAACTTGGTCAGGGTGCTTATCTAGTTGACAGCTTGGATGAGTTTGAACATGGGTCATCTCGTATGAAAAAGTAGGTCACCGGAGCTAAAAATAGAAAAACCTTGTTAACACTCTAGCGGTCACATTTTTGCATCAATCATCATCAAACTTGGTCAAGATGCTTATCTAAGTGATAGCTCGGATGAGTTCGAACATGGGTCATCTCGGATGAAAAAGTAGGTCACTGGAGCTAAAAATAGAACAACCTTGTTAACACTCTAGAGGTCACATTTTTGCATCAATCATCATCAAACTTGGTCAAGATGCTTGTCTAGGTGATAGCTTGGATGAGTTCGAACATGGGTCATCTCGGATGGAAAACTAGGTCACAGGAGCTAAAAATAGAAAAACCTTGTTAACACTCTAGTGGTCACAATTTTGACTCAATTGCCATCAAACTTGGTCAGGAAACTTGTCTAGGTCATTGCTGGGAATTAATCGAACATGGGACATCTCGGATGAAAAACTAGGTCACAGGAGCTAAAAATAGAAAAATCTTGTTAACACTCTAGTGGCTACTGTTGTGATCCAAATATTCTGTTAATTGGTCTGAAAGTTTGTTTTGATAATTTCTAAGTCAAGATCGAACATGGGTCATCTTGGATGAAAAACTAGGTCACACCGCCCAAATATGGAAAAACCTTGTTAACATTCTAGTGGTCACATTTTCGACTCAATTATCATCAAACTTGGTCAGGATGCTTGTCTAGGTAATTGCTTGGATGAGTTCGAAATCGCATGTGAAACTAGGTCACCGGAGCTAAAAATAGAAAAATCTTGTTAACACTCTAGTTGCTACTGTATTGATTCAAGTATCCTGGAAATTGGTCTGAAAGTTTGTTTTGATGATTTCTAGGTCAAGTTTGAATATGTGTCACCTGGGTAAAAAACTAGGTCGCACTGCTCAAATATGGATAATCCTTGTTAACACTGTCACATTTTTGACTCACCTGTCATGAGACTTGGTCAGAATGCTTGTCTAGGTAATTGTTTGGATGAGTTTGATAAGTCAGGTGAGCGATCTAGTTTGTTTTTCAACCAAACAAACATAAATCCAACCAAACAAAGAAACAAAACCTAAAAGCTTGACAAATCCTTGGAAGAAATTCAGCAGGGTAAATGTTAGTGTTTATTTTTCTTGGTTAGTTAACATGGTTAATATAGAATTATTGAAATCTATATTCATTCCAACTTTCACAGCAACATGAAAAATTTATGATTATAAAAAAACGTAAGTTAATTGTGTCACAATATGAAAACATACTTCTCTCATTGAAGTTAAGTTCACAAATTTTATGAATGCTTTTCATATGTTTATACCTTTGTGTCTTGAAAGCATGTTTCCATTCACAATAAATAACTGTATTACTGTCATTACTAGCTATATTTGTTAATTGATAATAAACATAAGATAAACCCAATTTGCTTTGTTACTGTTCTGCTAAAACCCCAAGTAATTCAGAAAACAGATTAAAAAAAAAAACGAAAGATATTGCCTAGTGGGGACCACACTCGACGTTTTTTTCTTATTTCTGAAGTCAAACACATCAGAGAAAGGATATTTTTGTAAAGAGGACTGCATCAAAACCTATTCTTTATTGTAACAAACAAATTAAAATTTCATATATGACCTTGAAAGTCCAGGTCAATTAAAGCTGCATGCCTTCAGATGAGCCAAAATATTACAAGAAATTCAATCTTTAGAAAAATGTATTAATATCTTAGCAAAAGTAAAAATATTCAATATTAAATTAATTATTTACATGTTATGTGCGTTTAATAACTGATTTTTCAGTATCAATCACTATTTCTACTGCGTTACTAACGCAGTTAGAGGTATTTATGTATATTTTGAAATCTCAGTTATATACGTCGATTGTAAGTGCCGATTGTAAGTGCTGTTTGCAATGTGTAAATTTCTTTCTTTGTTCACTTCACAATATTTTACTGTTAAATACTTTTTCAAAAATTTCATGAAAATTAGCATAAATCTGGAGGCATGCAGTTTTAAAGGTCAAGGTTACAGTTTAATTGTTCAACATAAGGGTTTTCACATTAAGTGTTCTTTTTGTCCAAGTATAAATCAAATCCATAAATAAAAAAGTTATGGCCTCACTAATTTGACCGTAAGTGTCAAGGTCAACTTAAGGTTAAGTTTAATTAAATCTTGTCCAAAGGATTATTGTGAATGAAGACCATTCATAAATTACATAGTTATGGCAAAGCTTGAGTAAAATTTAAACATTGGAGGTCAAGGTCAATTGTGAGTCAGGGTCATTGCCAGTCTAGTTAAGGTCTTGCCAAAGGTTTGTTGTGTCCAAATATGAAGACAATCTATTAAATGGACAACATGACTGTGGCTGTACCTAGAATCTTTCTGTCAAAACAGTTAAGCTGAAAATGTATTGCTGAAAAGGAAAACATTTAGTTAATGGAAAATACCTTTTGTAGAGATACCATAATCCTGCTTTAATTGGTAATTGATTCTCTGTCCATTGGTTGTTAAGCCTCAAATGTCAGTGTCAAAATGCTAAGTTAAGCTGGCAAACAGAAAAAAGTCTGATGAGACAGCATGGATATTAAACATCATAAGGCTGTATACTGGTGACATAGGCAATGTCATTTTAATCCAAACAGGCAAGAGCTAAGTTAATAAATTGCTTTTTCCACAGAAAGCATTAATATTAAATGAGGAGGAAGAATATTTTGTGTTGTTTTTTGTCTTTCAATATACACCATTATTACTGCTTCCAGCTCTTTTTTTTATATGCCCGGAAAAAATTCAGGCATATTATGTTATATCCCCTGTCCGTCTGTCGGGGCGAACATCCAATGGTCTATGAGCTTCATTCCGTCCATAGTTTTACTTAAAAAAAGAAGGAAATCCCATAAACCGACTGGTTTATGTGGTAATTTTACTGGTTTATGGGGAAAATGCCACATAAAGATCAAAGAAAAAGCACATAAACCCCAATTGTTGGCACGTCCGTCCGTTAGCAATTTGGTTTCCGGAGCATAACTTAAGTTCCATTTGGCCCACAATATTCAAACGTCATAGGATGATTGTCCATATTGGGTAGAAGACCCCTATTGATTTTGGAGTCACAAGGTCAAAGGTCACTATTACCTTTAAACTGAAAACAGTTTTATGTTCCATTTGGCCCACAATATTCAAACTTCATAGAATGATTGTCCATATTGGGTAGAAGACCCCTATTGATTTTGGGGTCACAAGGTCAAAGGTCAAGGTCACTATTACCTTAAAACTGAAAACAGTTTCCAGAGCATAACTTAAGTTCCATTTGGTCCACAATAATCAAACTTCATAGGATGATTGTTCATATTGGGTAGAAGACCTCTATTGACTTTGTGGTCACAAGGTCAAGGTCACTATTACCTGTAAACTGAAAACAGTTCCCGGAGCATAACTTAAGTTCCATTCGGCCCACACTATTCAAACTTCATAGGATGATTGTCCATATTGGGTAGAAGACCCCTCTTGATTTTGGGGTCACCAGGTCAAAGGTCAAGGTCACTATTACCTTAAAACTGAAAACAGATTCCGAAGCATAAAAGGTCAGGATCACAATGATCTTTACACTGAAAATTTAGTTCCTGGAGCATAACTTAAGTTCCATTTGGCCCACAATGTTCAAACTTCATAGGAAGATTGTCAATATTGAGTAGAAGACCCCTATTGATTTTTGGGTCACAAAGTCAAGGTCATTTTTACCTTAAAACTGAAAACGGTTTTGGCTCAATAACTTGGGTATTACAGCTGTAAAATTTTATAGGATGAACAGCCATGTCCAATACATGACCCCTATTGATTTTAGGCTCATAAGATCAAAGGTCAAGGTCACAAATTTAGTATCAGTACCAGTACTTGCAAAATCACTGCAGTACATACTGCAGTACCAGTAATGCAGCTCTGGTCACAATGACCTTAACACTGAAAATTGTGCTTTGCGGAGCATAACACAAGTTCCATTGGGCTTACAGTGTTCAAACTTCAAAGGATGATTGCCTATATTGAATAAAAGATCAAATATCTGTATTGGGGTCATAAGGTCAATATCAAGTGACCCTAATATTGTTAAAAGTTTTACAACTGTCAAACTTCATAGGATGATCACATATATTGAGTAGCGGTGCTCTTGCTTTACATTGAGCTTTTCAGGGAAACTATATATGGTATGATGCACACTTTATTATCACCAGCCTGACAACTGTGTACATATTAGATGTATGATGTCTCCAAGGTGATCTGGACAATTGTATTATATAGCTAATTGGTCAACTAAAATAGGGAGGTGTTGAAGTAGATGTATAAATGCCGACAATTATCTACGATTTTATTTCAAAGATACAATAATCAACTCCGTAATGAAGCAAAATTAAAGACATTTGCACTTGAATTGTTGTTGGGTATTAAACAAAGGCAGGTTTGTTCTGGTAATAAAAGACACATTCGTACTTCTAGTACCAGTAGTTAAGGCCCCCACGGTTACACATTTAAAATTCATCCCCTCTTTAAAATTTTGACGTGTGGGGCTTTGTCCATCTTCCATTCACCAGTGCTTTTGTGACTTATACTTTATCTTCTTGCACCAATAATTTTGTGCCCATGTTTTCTTAAAAACCAGGTAATCAAGTCAACATTTATTTGTTAAAAATGTTAAAATGAAACTTTCCGGCAGGTTTCATACAATTCACACTATAGATAATATCATCGTCTTCTTTACAGCTCGACTTTTACTTGATGCAAATTACCATTTTTAGAAAGGTTAATTCTATTCACTAAAACATTATAACAAGGTTATTCATCCCAAGATGGTCAATTAGTACATTTTAGTTTAAAATGGATAAGGGGTATCCACAAGTGCTCCTCTGCATGTTTCAAGCACCAGCAAGTGCCTTGGTAGAACCACTAGTTTGTACCTTTTTATTACCATTTGCTTTGAGCTAGTTCTGTGAAATAGACATCTTCCTAGGTGGCCAAGTCATAGTTTAATCTGCTTTCTAGGATTTAACTCTTTAGTCTTGAGCAGTGCTGATTAATGTCAATTGTTACTGTACTTGTAATATGACATGTGTAACATGTCAAGTCCCTTAGAGCATACCATGATATTCCTTGACTTTTAAAACACGAGAAACAAAGTTTTATATTTGAGAAATCTGTTTTTAATAGGAACAAATAAGAGAGCCTAGACTTCCAGAAGCCCGGAAGTCTGGGCTCCCACAAGTACAATAATAGCCATATTAATAGATATATGCTAGATTTGTTTTTATATAAAAATAGCTCTATAGCATATTTACATTTAACAAAGATCAAAATGTATATGTGTAACATATGTGTTGACAAGAGATGCCATAAAACAAATACTACATTAATGATAAACAATACTACATTATGATAAACAATCTGAAAATAAACGATTAACAATGATAAACATTAATATACGTCTGTTTTATTTTTCTTAATAGCGCTACACAATTTCATAAGTATTCTCGAAAAGAGAAGAAAAAAAAAAGAGGAACATTTACAATATTTTAACCACATACTTGTGGTTAACATATTTAAGCATTATAAAATTTTTATAATCATTAATATGATCTAATATTTCTACTGACACATTTCCCCGCACAACAATTTACGGTCATTTCGTTCAAAGATTCACGATAGAAGCAACAAAAACTTATGCTACTACTGTTAAATAAAAGAAAAAACGGCAACAATATTTGTTAAGTACTTTCAACACAAAAACAACACAATTTTTTACCTTTATCGGTAATTGATTCAATATTTCAATTATATATATATTAAACTGCTGCGGACTACATCAATGACTACAGTATTGTACCTACAGGCCTTGTGAATTACAAAAAAAAATATTTGAACACATTTTTTAAAATGTTTTTAACTGCTAATCTGTAACGCCATGAAAAAGAAATAAATGATAATTTCATTTTGAGACAGAAAATGAAACAATTGTTTGGTTGCTTCAAATGGGATGACTGAATGTGCTTGGTTCTCCAAAAATTGTAAGAGAAGAAAAAATGTTTGAAATAATGAATGGCAAGCCCTATATGTGTTTTCATATACAAAAAGCAGTCCCTGTTTATATCATAACAAAAACAATACCAGTAGGAAAGGGGAAAAAAAATCATTAAAATGGCAATAATCTGAAATTCTAATCACTTAACTAATTATTATGACCTATTTAACTAGGTATAACATGAGCATGTTAATAAAGTCTGATTCTATCTTTCAGTTGAACATCAACATGTTCAACAATATGTACCGGTAAATCAAGAATACCGTGATTAAAAAACCAGAAGCTTTGGTGTACAGAACAGATAAATGAAGCTGTAATACACACAGTCCAAGCTCTTGTTTCTATTTTAAGTGTTCCCAGTTACATACATGCCACATGACTAAGTCACATGATCCAATCATGTGACCATATATCTACATGAGTGATAACAACAATAACAACTAGAACAATGCTAATATTAAAATGTAATTGAGATCAATAGAAAAGTTTACAACAACTTTGTAATTCAAGTCTCTCCTATTCAAAGCCTACCGCTCCGCTACGTCTATAAATACTTGTAGATCAATTATAACTAAATAATTGTTGTTATTTTAGCTATTTAATATCGTACATATGGTGTTAATAAGCGCGTCTCAACTTACTGATAATTTAAGAATTCATTAATTTTGTATCACAAGGAATGTAATAGTAACCTCCCTTGAATTCCTTGTGATTTGTCCTTTTGTCTCGTTTTATTCTACAGTTAAATAAAACTGCACTTTTACAAAAAAAACATCCAGCACTTTCTATGCGTAAATTTTCAGCACAAGTAAAAACAATTCACACTGTCACATGGTAAAATTGACTGTTCCAAATTCAACTTTTTGTATTAACATTTAGTCCTCGAGATCTTCTGGACTGGCGTCCTTTAACACAGCTGTTGCGTCTTTTATAGCGTGATACACAATGTTCTTAATCTGTAATTTATCCTCGTGATTCGAGTGTCCTGCCGACAAATGTCTGAACTCCTGCGTAAGCTGAAAGCAATGGTGCACATTTTCCGGAGAAACAAAGTCTTCCGCTACTTTGATACAGTTATTGAGGTTTCGTACTTGATGCGGGGCGCCAGCAGGAACAAATATGGCGTCTCCTAGGCACTGTAGTATGGTGTAGCCAAGCACGTTATACTCCTTGGCTAATCGATCTCGCAAATCTTCGTCTAGGTACCAGCTCTGATCATGGATGGGATCATGGTGTTGTTCAATTTTTTCTCCTCGTTCCTTTCCGACCTAAATAAGAAACCAATAATATTATTGTTTCTACATATAAATGTATGACAGCAATAAAATTTTCAGTTCAAATCAATACTATCAAACTCCACATCTCTTAAGTTTTTTTCAGAGTATATATAGAAACATATGTATACATGTATGTATATTAAAATAGTGAAACATCAAACCTTTTGCAGAACACTACGTTTTAAGGAAATGTCTGTTAAAGACATTCAAAATAAATGTTCAGTCAGTAAGAATGGGTTTACAACATAAAATGTTACCAAAAAACATGCTTGGAAGTTGTTTATATCTCGAGGTAAAATTTACCTTATTTAAAAAATCTCGGATTTTGTCCGCATCAACAGCATCAAAGATGTGCCAGAGTGCTCCAGGAGTTTCCCGTACTTCTCGGATACGACGTTTTGTGATTGGGTCACATCGGGCCATTTCAATGGCTTTGTTCGTCTCCTGATCTTTTGGTATTCTACCTCTTTCCTCGTCCTCGAGGTAACCAACGTAGACCATTACATTAGTAGCGTCAGAAACATCAAGGTGAAGGTTGGTGGTACCTTCCTTTGGATACTGGGCGGAACCTGTAACAGAAGACAAACCACTGATTTAATGAAGAACTTTGTGTTTGTTAAGTATTATGAAATACACAAACACCTGGCAATTAGGAACATGCTATATGTATCAAATTATTTACATTTGACAAGTTACTGTAAGCAAATTTAGCCTATTTTTATATGTTATGTCATTATTAGAAAACTTGTAAGGTAGAAAATAAATGCAACTACTAACCATAAGCAATGTACATCTTTGGTCCGAGGTCCGGTTTGACTAGAAAATCTGGGAGACGTGAGACAAGGTTTAGGCGACCATCACGTTTGGTGTATTCGGGCAATGGTAGAGACTGCATCAAGTCGTTGAATTGCTGGGGTAGAATGTCACTAAAGTCATCACCTGGTGGCCAGTCTTTTAATTTTAGTAACATAGGAGTGCCTTCTTCATCTACCAGTCGCTCTGTTGATAAAAAATCACAATTGTTTTCAATAACTGTCTAGATATTGACTTACTGGTATTTGTAAAAAGTTTTCATAGAAACAATAAATGTATTTATCTTCAAGACATAATGCTATCGTGTTAGGTAATCGTCCTTAAACCTTATTAATCAACTGTTATAAGAACTAGGCTTACAAATTTCTCTTGTTTTAAAAAATGAATGCTAAAATCTAATTAACACCCGTTGTTTTTTTTTTTCTATCCTTAAAACAAACATAAATTAATGAGCAGCGGTAATATAACAACATTTACCTTCCATACAACTGAAACCTTCCCAGAAATGTTTCATAGGTTGATTTACAACTAGACAACCAGTTCTACAGTTGATGAGGTCATTCTCAAATTGTCCAAAATGTTTCGTGAAGTATGCAGGCTTCCACAGATCTTCGTTCACATATTTATCTACACCAGACACCAGAACCGGCTGGCCTCTCTTCCACTGTTCCATGAAAATTCTCAGATTACCTTTGTGACGTGGATCGTGAAGTCGTAATAAGCGACCGTCACAGAGCCATGAGTGAGGTACATCTGGATAAAGAACACTTGTCTCTGTTAGATTATGGGCTATGATAGGGGTTTCACGCACTAAACAATGACTTGCCCCAAATCGAGGCTTATAATGAAGCAGTTTCATTTCAGGTTCATCTGCCTCTATAGGGGTCAAAGGTCCATTTTTTTCAATTTCTTTTGGGATATGCTTCTCAACAACTTTTTGTATAATGTCATTAAGTGAACTAGTATTCTTAGATTTCTTTTTGGACTCATTGTTATTTTTCACTTTACTTCCAGCAGTTTTTGTAAGCAATTCGCGTAATGTTGAACAACTTGGGGGCATCTTTTTCTCACTACTTCCTGGTGATACTGGCTCAGTGATAGGATTGTACGACTTTCCGTTCTTTCCTTCTTTCTTTTTTGTCAGCAGCGGAGATTCACTTCGGTCACGAGTTTTCTCAGAGTCCATTGAAGCAACGTCAGCCAAAAGACTAAGTGGCGACGTGCTGTCTGGATTATACACTGCATTTTTAATGTTCCCATTTTTTGTTTTCGATTTTTCATCACCGCCAACACCATTTACCATTTTCTTCTTCGGAGATAATTGTTTTATTGCTTCATTCATTAAGTCAGTTTTAATTCCATTTTTCTTTGTTGTTATTTTAGGACTACATTGACAAGCCCGTAAAATCTGGAACCTGTCCCGAACCTCATGCACCATTCGACCTACTTCCCATAGAGCTGAAAAAACAAAAAAAATCTTAATGAGAAATCTTTTGCAAAAATCGATTAACAAAGATGCTATAAACATCTAACAAGAAAGCAAAATTACACAACAACAAAAACCTGTAATTGTCTGCATGTTGTATAAAATTACAGAAACTGTTGCCATATCAACGGAAAAGAAATCGGAGAATAACGCATTAGATCGCATCATATATAATTAAAAGCTATTGAATATTTATATTAATAATGTCTTTGAACACAGATCATAACTAGTTCAAATTTCAAAGTTATATCTTATTTGGTTTTGAGTCAAGCCCACAATATTAAGGTCAAGGTGACTTTTTAACATTAACTTGTGGAATTAAACCACAAATGCCTGTTTACAGACAACATTAAAAGATAAACACAAGGTCACTGTTATATAAGCATTTACCATCAGACGGTATAATCTGGGTCAACATCAGTTTATCTACGTCATGAGCCTGTCTGTTAGCGCTGCACGTGAGCCACTGCCTCTGGTCCTCATCATCCCCTTTCACGTCCTCAGAATCAGAGTCCTCGTCCACCTCCTTGGCCTTGACCTTGTAACAGTCCAAGCAGACGACAAAACCACATTTGTGACACACCCAGTGCATGTTGAACAGAGTGGTGTCACAAACGTCACACATCTCACGAACACCTGTCACAGCCCTCTTCCATGCTATCTTGGCTGAACAAAAAACAAACATTAAAACATTAGCTCAGTGCAACTTTTCCATTGCATATTGAATAACCTTATGTGTTATTTGAACCGTCTATTTCTCGGATATCCTATCTAAAGACAATTGAATATTTAGTAGGATTAAAAATATTTTTAACTTACAATGGAAACAAACTTACACTAAAAACATTGAAGCATTTAGTATATAAACAAATTGTGATTACCTCCCTTTGACCAATTCCATTCTTGTTAGCTTCCCAATTTTATAAAGATTTAATTTAACTTTGCCAATGATTTATCAACAAAACATAAGCCTTTGCCACCAATATAGAGCCAGGCCAGCCAACACGTCCATACAGTCTGATCAGGCTCTATACTGTTGGTAGCTCAATTTCTATAATGTGATACTGAAATCACTGAAATATTTTTAATCGGCGGCAGATCAATTACATTAATTCAGCTGAATTAAAAATTAAGAACACTCACCATTATCCCCAGCACAAACATGAGCCTCTTTTTCTTGCTGTATCAATTCACAGAATTTGTCACCAAGACGACGGATAATGAATCGTGCCGTATCCACATCGATCTTCGGTTCTATGATCGGCGATTTAGGAATCCAAGGGTCTATGTCATCCTGATCAGCGTCCGATAGTTCGGAGAATCCATCAATGGTAACAAATCCGCGCTGACTGTACTTTAACCTGAAACATATCAGTCAACACATATATATATAAACAATTCATCATTACTTGATGCTTGAAAATGTTTTAGCATTTTTTATACTCTTTAAAAAGAAAGCAAAATTAGCAATTTACGACTGATGGATGCAATCCATAAATATCTTGAAGTTGAGGTGTCTTAAGTAAGTCAAATAACACAACCATAACTTTATTCATAGACATAACTTTACTCTATTACTCAATATAATAATGCATTTAAATGACTGAAAATATCGCAACAAATTGCCTTTCAACAATTATGATTTAACCTTCTGGAAGAGGGCTAACCAACTTCACTTTTTTCACCTTGGGCAGTTCCAAATATGGGAGCTGGACAAGTCCATTTAAGAAATTAAGCATGTTAAGGGTAAACAAAAGAAACCTTCCAAAGTCACCTTGAAACATAATATAGTTGAAGGTCTAACCAATTGAACTAGTTGTAATTGTTTCAGAGTACACAGCCATTTACGTTATAACATCAACGTAATTGCCCACTTGAGAATGAAATTATTCAGTTTGTTTGCGGCAAAAAACATTTATCACAATATAAATCAAGCAACTCATTGAAAATAACCTCGTAAAAATCAGCCGTACATGACAAACTCCCTCAGGTAAATACAACGTCTAAATCATTAACCTAAAACTGTGTATGTAAGCCAATACATCTTAATGGGTTTTCATAAAATTGTCAGAGTAAATATAGAAGTGTCTAATGGCTTTAAGGAGATGAAATTAACGAGAAAAATGACAAATTCATACAATTTAACACAAGATGTAACCAGTTTTACAACCACCAAGTTTCAAGGATGAATCATTAAAACAAGTAACCTTTACAAAACTGACTTCCTTCAAGTAATTTCATTACTACAATAAAAACCTGGGATGGGAGGATTTTGCAATTAGCAATCTCCTAAAAATTGTAAAATTAAATCATTACTTTGTTTGTGACCTACATGTACTATGGCTTTGTTTTATCCCCCACCCAACAAACCCCCATCTGTAGGAAATGGGGGTTTAAGAAGCATGGGACTCTTCAACTGAACTAGTTGAAGTGCAATGACAATTCATCACATTAATGACACAAGCAAACAATACAAAACTTTTCCTCCTAATCAAGCAAAACACGATTTCCAAAAATTGATCAATATTAAATTTTCTTAGTATTTACCTTCTAAATGCGTAGAATCTACAGAAAATGTTTGGAACAGTTTTGCCTCTCTGTGTAGGAGTCATCTTACATTCTCGACATTTCATAAGTTTTGGTGTGACTTCGCTACAGGATCCATCCTGCAGGAATGGCTCGCAGGTCTTGCGGAGGACAGAGTCTGGGACTCGTACCAAGTCTTTGATCACAGTGCTTTGCTGAACTGTTGAAATTTAAAAATATACTGTTTTTAATATGCATAACATACCAATTTCCACTTTATAGTGAGAATTATCACTTAAAATATTTATCCTGACCTATACTGTAATTTCTGCCAATTTTAAATCTCAACATCTTGTACTATACATAGACAAAACATGTTCCATTTTTATCAAACAACGCATGACAATTACAATGTGGCTCATTCCTAATGGGAAATTAATATTCCCCCCTCCCCCCAAGAATACATTTTAGAGAATATTCACCTTTAGTTTCAGAGTCTTTAAACATGGATTGAGGAGGGATGTAGACAGGTTCATTGTCTATTTCTTCATCTGACTTCTCCACTTCCTTTTCTTTCGTCTCTTTTACTTGTTGTTTCTCTTTCTCCTTTTTGTTCTTTTTATCTTTCTTCTCCTTGTTTCTCTTCTTTTCCTTTTTATCAGACTTTCTGCTACTTTCAGCATCATTGGGTTCATCTGTTTCCATGTCTGTCTGCTCAGTTTTTTGTTCCGCAGCATCTTCAGAGTCTAACGTCTTATCGTAGGCTTCCTCTGTCTGCTTGATATCTTTCTCTTTTGCAGATTCTCGGCAGTTTTCAACAATTTTCTTTATCTGTTCTTCAGACATGTTATCCGCATTGTTCTGAAAATACAAAAATAATACCATTTTAGTTTGAAATATCTCAAAATCTCTTTATCATCTCACACTGTTTTTAGTTATTCACAACATTTCTTCTCTCTTTTTTACTGTAAAAAAAGAACCACCCACTTCACATTATACAAGTAATGTCTTACATTTCAAAATCTGTATCATATAACTAGTAGGCCTACAAAGTTTGCTGAATTTCAAAATCACAAAAAAAACATTAATAAAGGAGGAAACCTCAAGTTCCCCTCAGTGCCTTATTTCAGACTTCTTATCAATGATACATCTCAAAATTCAGCATCAAATGTCTCAGTCTGACATTATAATTCAACACCCAAGTATTTTTTTTCCATGCTTTATTTACATCTGGCTTATTTATAAATAGATATTTTATATTTCCAACGCCTCCATGAATAACCTTGGTGCTGTAAACCCAAAACTGTTTACAAAAATAAATCTTATTCAACAAACAGCTTGAAAACTTACTCTTGACATATATACGACAGAATGATCTAACAGCCCATGTCTTTTTTGTAGTTTATTTAGGAGTGAGTGAGAAAAACCTCTACCATACTATTACAGAGTAACCTTCCCCATACTATTATATTTAATATGGTGTCATTTAACAACATTAGCAAGTAGTCTGGATCATGTACAGAGACAAATAACAAGTATCATTTATAAGACAGGGTCAACAGCTCAGGAAGCAACACTTAAAACATGACATTTTGAATAATGTTCCCTCATTATACAAGCAAATTTATACACCGGGGGAACATCTCAAAACACTTTTTTTCTGATAAGAAAACATTAAATAAATCATATGTTAAATTAATGGTTTTTTTATGTTTAATTATTTCTGTTATCATTTCTATTAATATATCAGGCTATGCACAATGCCTTTGGAACATTTCCAAAGTATTTATCAATATAAGCTTTAAGTGTTTTATGTATCTAAAAATAACTTTAATCTACTTTTTTCATCTACATGTATATTGTAACTTAACCTAGCAAAATATATCAAAATATATGTATAAACATTTGATAATGTTATTGTAGAGATATAATATCTTTACTTAATACTAACTTAAAATATCTCTAAATGTATTAGTTTGTCTGTTTGATACAGACTTTTTGCACCAGGAAACATAAAAGTTACAAAATGAGTGTACAACATAATAATTATACATCATGTTGTTTTCCAGTTTATTTTCATAGAAAAGGCGACAGAAACATTTCTAGGAAACGTGTGTAACATCAAATCTAATAAAACTTTTATACATTGTGAATATGCTGCATAATTATATAAACAGTGTAACATTTTATGACAACAGACTTTTACTGCCGTTTGTACTGAATGGTTAACACTCATTCGTTCTGACAAGTTCTCTCATTTTTTACCCAGTTTTTATTCAATTAACATGTCAGTGTAGCCATCAACTCCTTTCTTTTTTTAAAGACAGATAGAATTCCCTCCTGTTTTATCTTATTAACTTGTATAAAAACCTAAAAATTCACTTGCTTGAAGGAAAACAAACAACATTAAGTCAAGGAAACTGAATCAATCTTTTACGATTTTTCTTTTTCAATATACAACCTTCCTAATCATTCATTCAGTTTGTTTGTTTTTTCCGATTTTTCTTTTTTTGTATTATGCAACAACACAGGTTGTTTTTTTTCTTGGTTTAAGAAAACAAAAAAAATGACCTTTTTTGTTTCACATCGAATACAATTAAATAAAATGCAAACATTTTCCTGGAAAAGCATTTCAACTGACAACAACTGACAAGGTCATCCCTAACTGCAGATGACTCATAGCACGGGGTTTGTGAGATTTTATTGTACTATGACAACATTTAATTGCATCAATTCAGAATTTTATAAACCATGAAATTATACAACAAAATGCAATAATATTGCAATATGAAAATTTTATGGTTTTATTTTCTACTTCTATACATTTATTGATTTTACAGACAGGCATTTCTTTAATTACCTAAAATCATCAAATTTCTGCATTTTATTCTACCATTATCATTAAATTCAGTAGTGGGAAAAAACCAACAACCCGGAATTTTATATTTTCTTGGAAAGAAACCAACTTATTCATTTTTAGATCTTTTTGCAATAATTTTTTTCAGCAATAACTATGGAAGGTTCTGTGTTTGTTTTTATGTGTTAACATAGAAACCAGCTTGCTTTAATGTAAACCAGATGTTCTGTAGGAACATGCTGATGTAAATCGTGCTTGCGGCTAACAAGAAAACCACTTCATGCAATTTCGTACAAACATATATTTTATTGGGTTCATCCCAGTGTCTTCTTTGCTGATGTTTCGGTTGAGCTTCCAACTCAAGTATAAAATGTGGTTTATTTACGTTTGTATTCCCAATGAAAATTAGTTTTTATATTCCTCTTAGCGCACTTGAATTTAACAGGCTAATAAATAATAAATTTACACAAAACCTGCTTAATCTTGCATATTTCTTGGAAAGGTTTAACATACCAGCAACCACATAATTATATGACTTCTTAACAAGTCATTTAAATTTACATAAAACTAGTCTTTGTTCTATATGATTTTTGAGTTATATAAACAGGCATAATCTATCCAATAAAACAAAGTTTTCAAGCGGTCAATTTTAAATCATATTCCTATCCCATTATCATCCTTTGACAACTGCACAACAAGCAATAGCTAACATTTTCATAAATCTGCTACAAAAATTTTAATCTTAAACTTATGGGGAAACAACAAAACTCTAGTTTTACAAGCGACAGGTATGTAATTATTATTGAAAATTTAAGCAAATCTGCATTAATCAGCAGTTTTTTCTAACTAACACGTCAATTATTAGGTCGACAAATTGAACAAACTTTTCATTGCTCACTTCATTAACAACATTTACTGTATTTTTAACACATGCAAGCTGTTTCCCAAATAATCCTAACATAAAAGGGTTCATCAAATCTATATAAATGAACAGCTGTCTTGTCATTTTCTATATACATATATCTGTTCTACTATTGAATATACTTCATTTTCAGATTTACTTAATATTCTTTTGATCAATATGCTAATGTCTCGGTGCAAAACAGTTAATACAAAATAAACAATACTGAATGACATTTTCGACAGATGCCTATAATGTGTCCTCTATTTAATTCCATACTGATATGTTGTGGGTTTTTTTTTTTTAATTTACAGCTATTAAACAATTTGAATGCTAATGTCATTTGTAACTTAGTTCTATCTGCACAGTCTGATCAGGATCCATGCTGTTCACTTACAAACCCTATAACAAGTAGATAAACTGATAGCAAACAGCATGGATCCTGATCAGACTGCGCAGATACGCAGGCTGGTCTGAATCCATGCTGGTCGCAAACCCATTATGTTGGTTTTGTCATGGCCTAGCTCATATATGTTTTTTCAAATTCTTCAGTCAAATCTGCTTGATTTCTTTACAAAGTATACGGTCATTTTATTTATAAGGTGATAAATAAACGAAAAGCAAATGAAATCTCTAGTGTATTTTGAATGTAAATTATCCAATTGTTATGCTAATAATATACAAATGCTTTCAACTCTGCAAACGAGCAAAAACTAGCGCAATTTACATAATGAGATCGTGGTAAGGCCGCCAATATGCAACTTTATCTTCAGGTCTCAAAGAGGAACAAATATTGGAATTTCTTTTCCAAAAACATTTTCAGAAATATTTCTACCTTTGTTTTAGATTCCTTGCCCCGTCTGTTTCCTTTCTTTTTGGTTTGACCCGTGGTGCTTGTTGACGAATTTTCATCGGAATCTATTCTTGGTTTCTTAGGATTAATATTTCGCTCTTTCTTATTCTTAACTCGTTTTTTAGGGTTACTTGAATTGCTGTCTGTTGCCTATAACCAAAAACAAACAAAAATAAATCTAAACTTATGTCACAGAACAAGAACATTTATTAATACAGGCACCATTTCTGTTTCTTACTTCATTTGAAAACAACATAATATTATGCATGACACAAATGCATGATTACAATAATGAGATGGTGATTGAACATTTTTATGCACTTATGTTTTTCCTGTAGAACAATAACTGCATTCTTCTGTCATATCAAAAATGCTGGAACTATTTATAGAACAGATTTGAATGAACTGATATTTACAAGTGTTGTACATACAAATACAAGATTAATGTATATGTCAGCTCTCAGAACATGAAACATCAAAGAACATGATTTTAACATAAAAGAGAATGTATAAAGAGGGACATTAATTATTCAAGCATTATGCGTAACTGCATTTTTATACAAACAAAAAGGTCAAAACAATCAAGAGCACTTGATATTATCTTCTCTATCTTAAAAAGTGGTTAAAGAAATTAGTATGCTAACCTGTGTTTCTGTTTCAGATGCAGACGTTGTGGAACTGTCATTTGTTTCGGATTTTTCCAAATTTCCATTTGGCAGAATAGCACTAATGGGCGATTTACTTCCATCTTTACCAGGAGATATGTAAGAACAATTTACGTAACAGTTTTTCACTTCCTTGTCTTTTTCAACCTCACCAGACGGGTTATTTTGGTTAACATTTCCAGAGTCCGCTACGACTGCTGGTCCTGTGACCCGATCTTGAGGTTGTGCTTCTTGTTTATCTTCGTCGGAATGTCTCTGTAGCCACGCCTTTTTCAAGTTTGGATGTTTCGCAGCTTTATGAGGTGATGGCGTGTTTTCTTGTTTTAAATGAGGGGGAGGACTAGGGGCACTTAAAGTATCACTGTCTGTGTCAATTTGTCCGTTAGCTACACGATTAATGCTTTCAACGTAAGACATAGCAGAGTTACTATTTCCACTATTTGATAAATTAGACGATTCATCATTTGCCGCACCCGGCTGAGATGTGACTGGCGTACTTGACCTTTCAAGGCTACTTTTAGGTTTATATGGTTGAGGTTTGTGTGTTAATTGTTGTTGTAAATGTTGTTGGTGAAGATCTCGTAAGTTTTCCATGCTCTGTGGCTTCTTCATCTGACCTTCTTTTGGCTTGCCAAGTTCTGGATCAGACATGAACGCATTCTGCACGGTATTCTCAACAAATGATTTAAAACTGTCCATAAACCCAGTGAGACCGTGCAATCTATTTTTGACTATAGCCTGTGACGATGAGGTGGTAGCCGTTCCGGCCTGTGTTGTGGACATCGCAGAGGCAGGAATGCTACCACTACTTGTTGTGTAAGGTGACTGGTTTGACACAATTTGTGGAGTAGTACATGGAACTGATAAATTTAATGGATTATTATTGCTTGAAGCAGTAGGGCTATGACCCTGTACTTCACTGCCTTTTTGTCTCTTACGACCATTCCCTTCTTTCTGACCTTTACGTTTTGATCCCATTGCACTTTGTTGCTGCATTTGTTCTCTATACGAGGAGTGAGAGGATTGGGCGGCTCGTGGAACCTGGGCTGTGCCAGTTACCGAAACAGTTCTTTGAGAATCGCCACCCTTTCCATTGGAATTGTTAGAATAAATGGGGTTTGGGACAAGTCCTTGTTGAATTAAACTGTATGTGTATGGAACTGAAGAGTGAGGTAATGACACTGGTGGTTGAGCTATAGCAGGAGAATAAGATCCTGATGAATTAACACTTGATGGATGAGAGCCCGGGTTTGATCCTGGACTTCCTCTTGTTTTGGTTACATTTGGGCTACATCTGTAGTCCATAGGCTCCATGACAGCTGCTGAAAGTTGCTGAGGACTAGCAATTCTCAACGGACTTTGAGATCTAGATGTACCTTGCCTTGCTGCGTCTGCCCGAAGTGCGGCAAGTTGTTGTGAATGCGCAGTCATTGGATTCATTCCATGTGAACCGGGACTTGAGGAACTTGAATGAGGCCGTTCCGGAGTGTGGGCAGGTTTAGGCTGGTGATGTGGTGACATATGACTTGTGTACTGAGGACTCGAAGATTTCACACCCCCTTCTTTCGTTTTGTTTTCCACTATCACAGAACTGTATGGTTTCGAGTCTTTAATCAAAGGCGGGGGAACAGACAAGTCCTTTTTACGAGGAGATTGGGAACGATTTAATTTTGAGTCTAACACACCTTTATCACCCTTATTCTTCTCTAGTTCATATGACTGAAGCTGATCTGTAGTGATGAATGAATATTTCTCAGGCTTGTATCCATAAAGACTAAAATTAGCCTGAACTTCTTGTTTCACATTTGACAAGCCAGGTTCACGCTTTATGGAATTGTGACTATCATAAGGTGATGATCCCATTTCTTTGCGGATTTCCTGCTTGATGTCCGGTTTGTGATCACCTGAAGAAAGCATCTTTTGGTAGCGTATATATTCTTCCTGTTGTGTCATTAACTCTTGATGTTTACGCATCATTTCAGCATATCGGAAATCTGTCTCCCGTAACTGTTCCTGAAAAATAAAAGCCATATTATAACCATTATAAAACATAACTATGATAATACAGTTGATCATTTTCCTTGTCTTCAGACTTAATATATAAATGTTGTCACTGTTTAAATGATGAAATGATGTAGCAGTTTTAATGGGGAAAAAAACTAAACATGCCCTAGATATCTCATTTCAGGCATATGTTGGCACCTCTATAGAACTTTAAAACTTTCGTTACCAAAATAGATTGACTACTCTCTATTTATAACAAAATTACAATATTCAATCACACTAAGGTGAAGGTCACAGATTTATAGTGATAAATATCTCAGTACATTCTCTACATTTCCATTCCCCAATCATTATGAAGTTGATTAATCAATCATCCTAGTTCTATCAATTCAACTCATTAAATCACGGACTGCCATTCCTGAATATTGATTCATGGAGAACAAGTGGACCAAATTCGTTTCTACAGATCAATAAAACGTTAAAATTAAATAAGCTTGACATTGCAGCTCTCCCCCTCTCCTATAAACATACAACTGTATCTATTTCAGTGAAACTGATACATTAATGTGACAAACCAGCCGAGGGGAAAAAAGTGCTGAGTAAACAAACAGCCCACACGCTTGTTTATTATTCATAACATACCTAAGACAACATTGCTGCACCAATTGCTACATGTAAATTACTGTATATTCGTCCCTTTGATGTGATCGATATAATGACGGAAGCCATAATGCACACCTTTATTAAGCTAAATCAATACACGGTAATATGTTTGATTACTAATTAAATAAGCCTGGCCAATCAATACACATTATCATCTGTCACAAACCTGTCACCATATTATAAAAGGAATTCTGAAGATACATTAGCCTAGCAGACAATTCTCCAATAATCTATCTTGAAAAAAGGCAAAAATCATTACAATATCATTACGGCAATATGATTGATTCCCGCTACAGTTTCCTTTCTTCTCTGCATGACCTACATTAATCTGAACATCGAGAAATATCAAGCATTGACTCTAACAGGGATATGGTCACATACCGGAATGTTTTCAACTCGGCGCCCCAAGGCTTTTTACAATGGTAACAGTCTTTATAGATTAATTCTCACGACTAGTGATTAATCTGCAGCTAAGCTTTACACACAAAATCGTAAATTTACTAAAAAGTATGTCATATGACAGACAATGACTATTCATTAACAACAGAGAAGTCAAAAGGGCAAACTTTGTTGTATTTTTTTTTTGATGATAAGTTATAGAGGTGAGAAGGTTTCTTAACTAGACATAATGTGACAGACTGTATCAAGTTGTCTGGACAAACAAAAAGTAAATTATTCCTGTATGAATAAATTATCAAGTTTAAACATTTATGGTCGTCATTATCATCTCAAAACCCTGTGGACACATTTTAGACCGGGTTTTTAATAAAAATATTTTAGGTAGAACCACGGATGTGCATCTTTCTTACATGAGTGAAATCCCAGGTCTCTAGCAGTATTCAAACCAGAGAGGAGTAGGTGGAAATAAAAAACTCTTTTTTTGCTAAATTGTTTCATATTCAGATGAGAATTAATGTAATCTACCTGTTTAATCTTTTCTTCTGGTTTGATTTCGCCCATCTTCGATGAAGGGTGCTGAGACTCGGGTTTGGGTTTACCAGTACCCAGTGTGATTGAAGGCTGGGGCCACATGCCTGTCTGAGCAGCCTGAAAAACACACAGGAAAAACTACATTAAACATCAAAGAGAAATCCTGTTGCCCTTTTAAATTATACTTCCTCTGTTTGTTCGTTTTTTTTCTATTTTTTAAGATGCAGTTAGATATAATCAACAATATGTTACCATTATTTGTCTGGGTTATTTTCAATTTGAACAAATCACGAAATTGTAATTATAAATTTGAGTAAATATCATACAGCTCATTTTTTCCCTTTTGACATTTATGTAGCTAATACTAAGAATATCCCGACATTGACCAATGTCATGGCTGTCCATTAACAACATTAATAAAAAAATTTATACCACAACCTCAAAATGACTTTAACATTTAACAAAATAGGAACCATAGTCTAGACAGGGAAGATGTATATAAAAATAATTTCAAACAAATCTCAAAAAATAAAAAAGATACAAAAAAATCTCTTTTTTGTTAAGAAATGTGGTTTTCTGTACACAATTCCTTCATTTCAGTATTACCTTTACCCAATGAATTTTTATTTATTTCAGGGAACAAGGAGGATATGATATACAATGTATAAACACACAATATAAATGACATAATTACAATGTTACAAAAAAATAAAATCAACAATTCAAATGTAAACATATTAACAGATTCACTGAAAAAGCAAACTAATTCAATAAAGACTGTATGTAGGCAGCCATATAATTAGTTATACAGTATATGCTAAAACAGCCATGTCTGTATGGCTTATTACCATGCCGCATCCCAATATCAACTCTGCAAAATTTGTGAAAATAGACTAACCCATCCTATCTTATCAATAGCTACCAGTAAATTGATTAACCGATTTCATATTAAAATACGTAAATTCTCTAGTACTAGTAGTTCAAAACATAGACATAGACATATAATCATATTCAAAAGTAGAATTTGGTCATTATGTATGAATAACAATACAATATGTCAACTTAAACATGTTCACACAAAAAAATAAGCAGACTCATGTCTGTTAAAGCAACTTTTTTCACATTTATTATTAAAGTTTACACAAAAAACAACTTTGAATGTCAATGTAGAGCTTTTTCTCCATATGATTTGTTTTGACAGTTTATTAACAAAACACCTTATAAACATATCTTTCTATACATACTGATCCAAACCAGGCACACTTTCATTGAAAAAAGTGAGGGAAAAAAATTCAGGGCAAAAATGACATTAGCACATACACATTTACTGTAAGGTAATGATGTTGAAATAGCATTTAAAAGTTTTCAAAGCAAATATCTCAAAGGGTTAAGGCAATAAGTGGAATTTTACCCATATTCAATGTATTTTCTAAGTCAAAAAGGGGCATAATTCTGTCAAAAACCTTGACAGAGTTATGTCCTCTTGTCTGTTGATGAAGGTCGTGATGGTAAACAAGTATGGTCAGTTTCAAAGCAATACCTCCAATGGTTTTGAAATAAAGTGAGGTGGTACAAAAAACTTAACCAAGCTCAATACACTTTCTAAGTCAAAAAAGGGCCATAATTCTGTCAAAAACCTTGACAGAGTTATGTACTCTTGTCTGTAGATGGAGGTTATGATGGTGAACAAGTATGGTAAGTTTCAAAGCCATACTTGTAATACTTCTGAAATAAAGTGGGGTGGTACGAAAAACTTAACCAAGGTGTGACGCCAACGCCGACGCCAACGCCGACGCCGGGGCGAGTAGGATAGCTCCCCTTTTCATAGAAAAGTCGAGCTAAAAATGAGATATAATTATTGTGTTATTTCTGGGTAAGGGGGTATAAGTATCTTAGTCTTCCTTGTAAATAGCTTGTCAACAAAAAAACAAATTGGCAAAATTAGTTGCCTCATTTCAAACAAGCACAATCTGGTTATTTGTACTTTAAAAGTATTTCCTCTGACATATTTATTGCTATAATTAGAAACATATTTTCAACATTTAAATATGTATTATGTAGAACAGTACTGGAAAGCATTTCCTCTCACATAAATAAATTGATATATCACATTCATTAATTGATATAATTAGATATGAATATTAAAGTGAAGTTTTGATGAGCCTGATATCATTATTATCAGTTAAGACAAGATCAATTACATATAAATAAAATTCAGTTCATAATTAATGCATCAGCAAACATTTTATCATGTATGTCAGTTACATAAATATTCATAGGGTAGAGGCATGCGATATGTTTCAAACTTGACAATAAGAGTGTCAATTAAAATCAGTATTGACTTGGCAGCTGGCGCCATAATAAAATAAAGACATTGATTTGTACATGCATCCGATCATGGTGTCAGGGTGAGTGGGGGTGCTGGCTTGAGGCATTTTAGTATACAAGGTTGATGAAATTGGGAAGGGCCAAGAGGTTTTTGAGCTGCATGTTTAAGACAAACACTTTGACATTTATTGATTAAGGTACTATGTAAAAATACTTGTTGTAATCATTGTGATGTATTTAAACAACATGACAAAACACACAGAGAGACATCAATCTTATCACTTTTATGTCATCGTCAGTTGTTAAGTAGCGAGGTAAAACATTCAATGTCATTTCCTTCATTAAAAATAAGAGAATAACAAACATTTTCCTGCTTGTTATTACTAATTTACTAACGCATCAACATTATGGTCCATAATTATCTTCCATATAAAGGTAGCAGGAGTAATTTCACTGCACAGCATGCAAGCCGACCATTAACCCTTCTGATCAATTTTTACAATCTCGTTTTCTAGTGCTCTTGTTGATTGATTAAATGTCACCAACAAAATGAATCCAGAAGCCTAGTTACAGCAGTAGCAGTCTCTGTGATGTCTCCATAGCAACGGAGACAGAAGTGGCAGAAAAGGGGGAGTGGGGGACAGAGAAAATGTCAATTTGTCTTTTGTCTGACTCGTTTAAATGTAACCCAATTAGAGGAAGTGTGAAACTAAAGCCTGCCATAAATCACAAACACAGAATTGACAAAGTTGTATGACTGAGAAATATTCTCATAAATCTGATAGAATCAGACAAGTATTCTACGGCACTAACATCAGACAGACACAACATTAATGATCTGAGACTATTCTATAAACATGCGCACAATGTTACAAAAACATAAAAAGAAAGTAAGTTTCAAACATTACAAGTTCCAACACAGAAACCCAAGAGTTTTAAAAAACTGTGAAGTGGGTAACATTGTTTTCAGTCATTTCTTTTTTTTTAAGACAAATTTTGGCTTATACATTGTACTTTAGAAAATTGACTCAAAATTCACAATGTTAGTCATTTATTACACACTTAGCTCAATAGGGAGAGCATCAGATTCATAATGATTTGTGTGTGTGAATTATGCACTACTGTGCCGGGAATGGGCATGCTGGTAATCCCACTGGTGCACTGATTAAGCAATCAGAAAGTTACAATATTGTAGAGCCGAGTTGGCGGATTTGTGTGTTTTGTGACAGTCACCCTGCTAGGAATTCGAAGACATTCTGACATGATTGTTTTAAGGGAGATTTTTTTTCCAGAAGAATAGATACTGAATATCACATGACTGCATGCAAGGACAAGGACCTGGGGCCTGAGCTGATCTCATATTGAAGGTATAGATGAATCATCATTACCACTAACATCCTAAATATTTCAATGGACTTAAATGTCAAGTAATTACACAAGAAAAGGGAAACTCATTTGTTTCTACTAACAGAGTTACAGCCTCTGCTATTATCTAGCACTATATCATACAAGTTTCATGCCAGAACACAATAAATAATTCATTTATCAGAGCTCACAATATGAAAGTGGTTTACTACACATACAATACAGAACTTTATATTGTCAAGGATTTTTACTTCACACAGTAAAACTATACTAGTATTATAAAATAGCAAATGTAACACAGCAGTAATGGCCAACTTAAAAAAAAAGTTAAAAATAAATAAAATCTTTATTAGTTTTAATAAAATATGTGGTAATCCATAAAAGAATTGTAAAGTTCAAAATTAACCGAGCAAGATTTGACAATGGAATCATCACTGTGTACAAATCACTGAAGCATGCTTATTTTTTTTGTCCTAGTTCTTGACCTTGGCCATGCAATGTCTAATTTCTTCGAAAATCTCATTGTAATGTAAAAAGGTTCAATTTAAAACAATTATTTATCTTATTTATTTTATCTAAATGCATAGTAACGGAGAAAACTATAGTGAGGTACTGATTGATATTCTCTTTTTACCATAAATATAATTATTTTTCTAAAAATATATGTACATTGGTTTCACTGCCAACAACAACGGCAAAGTTATATACAAAAAACTAATAACATACATGTATATATAAGGCAATAAAAACAGTAGGGGAAATAATGACAATGTTGAAAGACAAAAAAAAGAAGACGGAGTTATTACCATGTATTTTGGACGGTAGTTTGCATTAGCATATTGGTAACCATCCATGGTTGAGTTGTGATTTGGGGGCTTCTTCCAGTTCTTAACAATAAATGAGAAAAAGAATTTCTGTTACTATACATTAGGCCTATAGGCTATACATTTCATTCCTCTTTTTCTCCCTTTTATCACAATTTTTTTTCATTTAAATTTAGATATTTACTACAAAAACAGCTTCAGTTTCTTAGAATAAGCATGTTACCATTAAAACACCATTATAAACTTATCCAATTTCATTTTTTTTCTACGGCAAATTTTGGTCAATCTAAGCATTGGTTTGAAACTGTTAAAAACATTTTTGTCAATTATCTAATAATTGTGCAATGCAATGTCAACAATGTCAATTACAACAATTTCTCACCAAAAAAAAAAAAAGGATAATAAAAATGAAAGATTAGTTTTGAACTATTTCAATATTTCATTTACATACACGACTATTATATATTAATACAATTTTAAATCAATTAAATAACTGATATAATTTCTCCCTTTTATAATACAAGAACATGACACTGAGCTATTGATTTACTAAAACAGCTTAAAAGCTTAATGTTTGTAAGCTGAATGTGTGGATCAAAATTAATTACTATTTCTCAAATGTCAGGGGGGAAAAAACACCTTATCAAATAGCAAGATTCCATTAATACTTGATTTGTGTTAGCAAGTCATTGTGCTTAACACTGATATTAGTTGCATAATATGACACTGTCCAATCATGCTTCAAAACTTCCCCATACATTAATCATAGCAAATGTATCGACAGACCTGCACTAAGAGTAAGAAACCTTACTATCGATGATCACCATTCACAAATGGCCATACCTTCAAAACTGTTGATACAATTAAAGCATTAAGAATAAAATTGCAAATTTTATAAAAAGTATTGACAATAGACGAATGAATGAAACTGGACGGCTGTAATGGTGATCACCAATATAGATGAGGGTTAACTCTGAGGTAACATGTATGAAGAAGATAATGCTCACCCTCTGACTGGCAAGTCTGAGCGACTCGGAGAAGTGTTGATCAACGGCCGCGTGCGAGTCCACGGATTCCTTCAAGATACGTCGTTCACGCTCCAGACGTTCTCGGTGTTCTCGCTCTAATCGGTCCTTCTCCTGTTTCTCCCTCTCTAAACGTTCACGTTCTGCTCGCTCTTGTTCGACTTTCTCCCTTTCACGACGCTCCCTGCAGAAAAACAGCAAATAAATCCATAAAATAAAAACCCCTTTACTATTTCTAATACATAACCTACTCATATAAACTGTTTCATTTAATATTCATTATCAACATAATTTACAACAACAAGTGCCTCCATTAACCTAGTCAAAGTCAAAAATGTGATGCAAAAATTCCCCAAATTACACCAGTGATTTAACTACATGTATACATAAATACAAGCTAAATCTCAACATACAGAGGATATTATGTGTAACCATTGTTGCATGAAGGATTTCTATAGCAGGATTTTATCAGTTTTTTTCTTCTCAATAGTGTAAATTTCTGGGTAAGAGAGTTTCATGTATTTGACCTAGTTTAGAGATTATATTCAGGTGTACTGAAGTGTTTCTCCTCTGTGTGTAAGTACATGTGTACATGATTTTGACATATATTATGACAAATGGTATCTCATGTAGGTGAAGACATGTCAAACAAGACATAAACCTGTGATTTATGACCAGGAGCAGGCTAAGATTACCTGTCACGATAAAATGTCTATTGTGTTTTGTGGGGGATGCATTAGACTTTCGAGAGTAATTATCCACCATGCATTAACCGATGTAAAATCTGAATTAATAAATTTGATACAATGTAATTAACATAGAAAACAAAAGTTCCCATGTATGCTGAACAGCCATAACATTGCCATTCAAATCACAAAACCAAAGAAAAATCATTAAAACCTTCACATCTGTCTGATTGGAGGAAGGGGGCGGGGGGGCTGTATTTTTAACCCTGTGGCCCGCCAGTACAGAATTATACTTTATGACTACTTAAGATATTAATTTTATAATTTCTATGAAACAAGATGAAGCTTTCAAAGGTAGGTGACACTCCTCAAGTCTTGTTTGCACTCCCTAACATTGATAGAGTGCACTGTATTCATCGTACATGTATGTACAATTTCACATGATATCACTCAATGTGACCTACATCTCAACTTGACCAACTTTTCTGTTAGTTAAGTAACAACTACAGGGCAAAGGTTACAAGCCAGTTGCTATCCATTAGTCACTATGATAGTATGCCACATATACAGTCTAACACATTCATTACTCTTCACTAAACAAAATTTAAAAAAATTGATACACAAAAGCAAGAAAGTCATGCAAAAAAGCTTTTTTTGATTATTAACTATAAAATGAAAAATAAAATGAAAAATATTGTAACAATAAACAAACATACCAACTTATACCAACCCTCTTTCAAGTATAATAATTTCCCCCACTCTTAGCCCCCTTCAGGTTAAAGCCTTTAAAATGACAGAAAATTACATAATGCACCTGTAATACTCCTCCCAACACCATACTGACCCCTATACACCTTCTGCCTTTTACCCCAATCCTTTAAACTACCAAAATCAAGATGTATGTCTACAATATTATTCACCCAGCCCATCATGCCTCAAGAGAACTTTTATTCACAACAGCTACCAGAGCATAACAAAGGCTGAGCCGAGATAAAATATCCCGCCAGTATTAATGTTACCCCTTCATGAGGGCCTCTCAGCCCTTTATAGCTATTAAACTTCTTTGTTCCAAAAGTTTGACTGAATAAAGACAAAGTTTAAACAACAAAATACAAGAGACGGTTGTAAAATAGTTGATGTATGGCTTCCTTTTCTATATTTTTATCCCCATTTAAACATCAAGAATGCAAATCAGCAAAATATGAGTCATAAATGCGTAACATTACCCTAACAATCTACATGCCACAGGAAAAACTACTTGATAAAATATAGTTTTTTATACCCCACAAAAAATATAGATATAAAAAACTTTTTACCTCAAAATAATTCCATAACTATTTATATACACTCCAATGAAATAAAAAAATCTCAGAATATTTGCAAAGAATGTAGCATAATATTGAATATTTCAAAGCGTCATGCAAGCTCTAAATACTAAGATGGCGGAGACTATTCAAATCAATAAAGCTAAGGTGAAGGTCGTTGGCATAATGAAGGTCTTATTCAGGAGAAATAAATAGGAGGCCTCCCATTGATTTCCCAGTCATGATGAATCTTATGCCAGATAACAGCAGACATGGATACTTGATAAGAGACCAACTAAATTGTTAAAGGTAGTTTGTACAATAGTACTTCATCTGTTATACTGCATGGTTATATTGCATGTGTTTATTACTCTCAGTTGATCTAGTTTTCAACTTTTTTTTTTTGTAAACACTTGTGAGTGGGTATGCTTTATCTTTATATCTCTACCTTCACCATAGTTGATCCAGTTTAAGTGTACTTATAAAATGATGAATAATTTATCTTGTATGTAACAGATTCTTTTCTTTATATGTATGTCGTTTACATAAAAACCATTAATGCAGTACAGTCCTTTCAAAAGCTGTAAATCTCAAGCATTTATTTCCTTCTCTGAAATTTAATGAAGCTAATAAATCATTAAAACATTCATGGGAACAGCTCGAAAACCTTTGTTCTGAATGATATAAAAAAAATATGGAAAAGTCCTACCTGTCTAGCCTTTCTTTCTCCATCCGTTCACGCTCTCTTCTTTCCCTCTCTTTTCTTTCGCGTTGTTCTCGTATGTCTCTTTCTCTTTCCCTCTCTATTCGCTCAAGGCGCTCACGTTCAACTAAATGTTGTTCCTGCTGCTCATGAATTAATCGAGCTTCCCGCACAAGGTCATCCTGGTGTTTGGCAAGAAGCCAAGGTGGCGGTACTGGCACAGATGGGTATTTCTGTTGCCATAAATGTTCAAGCTGCGATTTGTTCATAGATCCTCTTGGAGGAGGATAGATAGATAATGCATTACGATATTGCTCTGAGGCAGCTAATGCTGCAAGCTGCTGCTGCTGTACTGCAGCAATCTGCTGATGTATTGCCAAAGTGGCTGGGTCCAACTGATGTAAACCTGGTGGAAGCAAGCTAGACAGTGATGCTCCAGGTATTGAAGGACCCATTTGAAGTGGCGATGGATATGCCACTGAGGGTATGACTGGAGTCCTAGAAGTTCGCTCCATTGCACTTGATAATGGTGTTGATGAAGTCATTCCTACACTAGCAGGTCGAGAAACTTGCGTTGGTATAGGATTGTGGACCTGCGGATATGATTTGTGAGGATTATGCATACTTGGCACATTACTCCGCACTGGATTTTTGCTCATCAATTCTGGGTCCCTATATATTTGCACTGGTTCACTCTTGTCAACAATTAATGGACTTGAAGCAGTACTACTTTTTGAACTTTTTATATCATCAACACGAGAAGAAGGACGATGAAGTTCATCTCCACTCAGTCCCGAACTGCAACGACTGTCACTGTTCCGTGACAAACATCGTTCGTCCTGAGACCAACTGGAATTTGTGTTTGTATTATGTAAACTGCTATTGAGAGAGCCTACACTATGTCTGTTATCCCTGGGTATTGACTGATTTTCACATTCACGATCAGAAACTGGTGAAGATAATGTGCTTGGTACAGAACCTTTATCGTCACCGTTTAAGGAAGAAAGTTTCCCTGCACGAGCAATCTGGTCAGTTACAGATTGATTAAAGTCAATGCTTGTTGGAATTCCACTATTCTGAGGTGTTCCTGATGAAGCACCCCCTGCAAGTAATGATTGTTTCTTTTTTATATAGTGCATATTATCCCCTGATTCATTTAAAGAAGTCTTTTCCTTTTCGATGCAGTTACCTTGTTCCGCATCTACTCTCCTTTTGGAGTCTGTGGTTTTTACCTGAGAATTTTCATTGTCTTTCTTTTTCTCCTTACGTTTAACTTCTTTTTCGTGACATGCTGTTCGTGGGGACTTTCTTTCCTTTAATTCCCCAGATAAAGCATTCCCTGATTCTTTTTCTTTCTTTTTCAAAGCACTTTTAATTTCTTTGACTTTCTCTTCAACTAAATCCTTACTTTCTTTTTCCCTATCCACACTATCACTTTGTTTTGCTTTAATTGAGCTTGGGTTGTTTTCATTAACAGGCTTAGTAGTATTTAAATCACTTTTTAAATCACCTTTTTCTGTTTTGGCACTGCTGTTCGTCTTCTTATCACTTTTTTCAGTTTTCTTGTCTTTTTTACTGCTCCCTGAATTAGACTTAATCACAGATTCTGCTTCTGTTTCCGCTGGTGTCCTACTTGAGGACCGTCTCCTAGGAGAATTACTTGTACCCTTCGGAGACTCAACACGATTTCTAGGTGAATCAGTTCTTCGTAAAGAAGGTAATTCTACTTTATCGTCCTTTCTCTGTCGTGATCTTACAGGTGTTCTGGGTTGTTTACTTGGTAAACTTTCACTGTCCGACTTCTCTTCACTAGTTTCTTTTGCAGAATCTTTATTTTTAATATTTACACTTTTTTCTTCACTATCTTCACTTTCCTTGTCACGTTCACGATTTCTTTGAGGTCGTATTCGTTCCTTAGCCGGGGTGTTTCTTGGAGAAACCCGGACAGGTTGATTAGAATCAGAGTTAGAAACCTGAGTATTGACACAATCAGTTTTAGTAGGAGTTTGTGGTTTTGTTTTCTTTTTAGAGGTCAAGTTTTCAGACACTATTTGCGCCTCAACTTTCCTTTTCCTGTCTTTGGAATTTGTTGATTTCTGCTTCAAACTTGTCTTATCCGCTCCTGAAACAACATAAAAAACATGATAAATGACAGTAAACAAAGGAGTGAAGTTATAAATTTCTGCAACTGATACAGCAGTCTTGGTGCCCCATTACAATATCCCCAAACCCCCACCTTAAGTGGTGAAATGAAAGCTGTGCGTCTTTAGTCAAAATATGTTTATCAAAACGATACATCTTCATGAACTTCTCACCAATGGTTTTTTGTAACAATAGCTACTAGTACTAGAAATGATTGCAATCGATACTTAAATTAACAACTCTCAAGTGTTTACAATAAATCAACAGAAAAAAAAAACACAGCAGAAAAAAACAAGAGACAATTCACCATGTATTATATAAAGTAAAATTTCCACCTGTCTGCTGGTATTTACATGCTTGTAGAATTTATCAGGATTTGAGTGGCACTGAAAACTTCTTGTGTTTTGTACCCAACATTTGCCAAGGTACAATGTTATTAAAAGGCCGAGTTACAAGAAAACACCTTACTTTCAACTTCATTTTCGCCATAGATTTTATCAGCTTATTACTATTCTGAACATTTATATCCTCTAAGCTCTCATTAAATACAGAAATAAACCCTGTATGCTGATCATATATCTGTTCAATCTATGTAATTACTTGTACTAAAAGACTTTTACCAACATTCCATCTTAAATCATATTGCATTCTTTGATTACCATAAACATTTTGTTTCTATTGTAACATATGGCATCACTGTTGTGAGAAACAAAGCAAATCAGATCAAGGCCAATGTTGTTCTACAACTTGCTTTATGTTATCCTTGGTTACCAAATTATTCTGACTTACATTTTGTTTTCAAAACATTCTTTTTTATTTATCCAACTGACTTTCCATTATAATATAATTTTAATCTAAACTCTATTTATAAAAATGTAAAACCAAATCATAGCATTTTGTGGTGAAACGACCTTGTAAAAAAAGGAAAACAATTCATGGGTGTTAAGGTAGACATGGTGATGTTTAAGTTGTCACTGTGCCATGTTTTTCTGGCAGACCTAATCGGTTTGGCAGGTGCACTTGAGAGGCTCACTGATTTCCAGGAATCTTGCCTACTGTTTATGACATTACTGGCTCCATTCCAGTGATTCTCACAACCCAGTCAATATTATGGTGCACCAACTATGGAGGCTGTGCTAACCATGTGATGTGCCAACATTTCAAGGAAAGTTTCTCTTATCTTAAACAAGTCATAAATGGGAAGGGTTACTGAAATACATAACAAACTTTTGACACACCTGAAACCTTATTACCAGAAAGAATCAGTACTTTTCTTTGAAACTTGTTTATTATTTGTCATTCTCTGTCAACTATGAAGCCTTTTTCTTCATTCATAGCAAAAATTCAATTTTTAAACAAATGCAAGCTTGAATGAGAATAACATTTTATACATGTATTTCTTTTTCCTGTCCTAACACTATTTTTTCCTCTCACCCATTTCAATCCCTATGTCCACTGTCTTTATTTATATCTTATCAAAATATTAAGTTTTCATACTAAAATTAGATGAATAAGCATTACTGAAGCATAGTGATCCCAAAAAAAAATTATCTCTCAGATCTGATTAAATGTTTCTTCATGAATGGTTATCAATACAATCTTAATAATTTATAACAGTCAATAGGTTACTGCCTTAAACCATTTTATGTAATAAATGAAAACTTCCTGCTTTATCTCCCCTTTCATGCTCAAATTAAAAAACCCTTCCATTTAACCACAATGTTGCTCTTAACCACTGATAAAAAATGTTTTCCATTTAACAGACATATCTAATGCACTTGAAACTACCGCCATTTCAGATATTTTTCTACGTTCACCAAGTCTGGGGGTTTATTTTAGCAGTAAAGTGCATTTGTTCAATACTTAAAACAAAATTACTAAGCGTGACCTGTAACATAAAAGCAAAGAGTACAAAACATGAAAATATATGCAATAAAAACCTCAAACTACTACTGCTATTTACCTGTCAAAGGCGTAATGTAATTCCCCCATTGAAATTGATCATTGTAAAGAATATATTTACATTTCGTCTTGTAATTGGATTCTCAATCTTCAAAACAAGTCAGCCATGCAAAGAAAGACGAATATTTACTTTGTAATTATTTCTGACGGCCTTTGACAAATGGTAACTTAATCCGCTTTGCATAAAACTTATCCGCAACACTATTTCACCTATAATTAACCCTATAAATTGCTTAACTGTCTTTCCTGACTTGCTGGTTTCCTAATTTAATGGTCCCCTTGCATGGTTTTATTTCAAAGTAAACAAAAAATTTATCTTCATAGAAAATGTCCCATGCTTATCAACACTAAAGTTGACTCAATGATTTTGTTCAAGGTACTGTTAAAGCAATTATTCACAACTTTCTGTACAGAACTGCACCCCTTGTTCATTCAATGTTAGTTTAATCCCATTATCAATATCAGTCAACATGTTACAATTTAAAAAGCGGAGATCTCATAAGTCAGTGTATTCAAAATCATTAAAGTCCACGTCAAATAATTTACTTGTCACTACACTATCAAACAACTTAAACTTTGTACAAACTTTAATCCAACCAGAAATCTATATATAAATAAATATATACATACAGAAAAAAACATTTTACTTACTTCTACGCTTATTAATGCCAAGTCAAACAAAACCAAATATTACAAGTTTAAACATAAGTCTTTTAAAATCCTTTCTTTCACAAATAGAAATGTTGAATCACAATAAAACCAAATTAAGTTTTCCAATGCATTTCTAAAGCTGGATTACAGCTTTTACAAAGGAAGGCTTTCTTCACATTGAAAAACCTCTTACTTTAACTAGTGACAGCTGTACAGATCGTAAAACTGACGGGGAAACTATACCATCTAACCGCTTTGTGGTTTTTTTCCTTGGGGGTCATCTCAAAACATATTTTATCAGATTTTTATATCAGATGTTATCTGTAGAGGTTATTAATATCAAACTTTTATCTATTTATCATTGGTAGATAAATATTGTTTGTGTCAAAAGTTAGCAATAGTATTATCCTCATTATGGGAAAAATTTACAATGTTGAAATACACATGCTTGAACAATACTTTACAATCACTTAAAATTCTGTGTGTTTGTATGAAATCCCAAGTGGTTTACAGGCGTTAGATTAATCATAAGGCACTTAAGGAAAACAATTAACGATCTGAAACATAAACTTTAAACAATGAAAACTGTACTTGTAAGTACTCTACAATTATCTATACAGTAGATACAGCAACAGCTGCCCATAAGACAGCTTAATACTTAAACTGGCTTACAAGTGTTATTAATTAAAAAAACTGTCGTTTGAAAACTTGAGCCCAATAGAAAGGGGCATAATTTTGTTAAAAAAATCATGACAGTGTTATTCTGTTGCTTACAATTTTGAGTGATAGTCTTGAACCAGTATTCTTAGATCCAAAGCATTTATCTCAAAATGTTCAGTGACAAGGTTTGGAAAACTTGAACAAAGTTGAAAAAGGAGGGTAAGTTTGTAAAATTCAATGACAGAGTTATGTGTTCTTGCATCCAAAACAAGGTGATTGTCATGATCACATTCCAAGCAATGTCTGTATGATTTTCCATTAAAAAGAAAAATTGGTTGGTATCATGAAATTAATGAAGATGCGACTCCAACTTGGACAGACATCTGACCTGAATGTGAAGGATAGATTTACCTATGGAACAGTTATTATATAACTATATTCGAGCTAATAATCACACACAAAACATGAATCGCTCTAACATTGTATCATGTTTATTATCATCAAAGCAGACAAGAGGATGAAAACATGTAAATATTAAACAACAGCTGTCGCAAAATCTGTCAATAGTACTACTCTATGAATTCCAATAGTCTGAATAATTCACGGCCTTCCATGTTCTCCATTATAATCTTTCTCCAGTGTAAATTGCTGATGAAAATCAATAGAAATAAGAGAAGGCTGTCAAGGGTTTTATATATTTTCCTGGTTAACAAGTGTATTTTCATCATTTATATTGTCAGCTTATCAAAGATATCATCACTATTTATAAACAATATAGTAAATTGTTTTCTTTCCCTGGGAAACCAGCTTAGACATAGCTCCAGTAATAGCCAGTAGAAATATACAACAGGGGGCAATTTTCTCTCCTACCTTAATATTAAGTTAGGTGTTTTAAAAGTGATTACATTGTTCAGAAATGTCGATAACATAACCTGTAGTTATTTTTCCAAGTTATTTAAGAAGTATTATCTTCCTAATACAATGATATTTTCTCAGCATCATGTTGTTTTTATGTCATTACGTTTCTGCCTTTTGTTTTAAAACATGAGAAACAAGGAGTTATCAATGATATCATGATCGAAATTCTTTCCCCTACTAAGTACAGGTAAATGAACTTTATACCCCTAACCTTGAGTTGAGATATCTTTGGCAACAGCCAAGATAAGAAATAACACTGAATATGTCTCATTATTACAGAAGATAGTTTTAACCCTTACCATGGGACTTGTCCAATTTTTCAGCACTGTTTTACAGTTTAGACAAAACCATTCATCATTTTAAGGGGGTAATTTCAAAATAAGTACAGACTGAATAGCGAACAGAATGATTCTGCCGGCTGATCTTGGTCTGCAATGGTGGCTGGGTTAAAATGTTCAACAAATAGCCTCAATCAGATGAGAAAAATTAACTCTTTAAAAATCTTTGCAAACATTTTTATTGGGCTTACCAAACACAACTACTCTATAAAATTGTGTATTTTATTATCAGTGAAATGATTAAATCTGCTTGAATTATAAATAATTTCGAGAAATCACCTCTGGCTATTCAACAACAAGTTGTGAAGTGGTTAACATTTTAATATGCTAAGAAAAAGACGACTGTGGCCTGAAGCATAAAATTTAACTTACTGACACAAGGTGTAATGTTGAGAAAGCCCCCAAGGGATATATATGACACAATGCCTGACTATTTAGGCTATCCATCACTCCCCATGTTTTATAGTAGCAAATGAAGGAGTCCTTATCATCAATCAATAACCTTGCTGACTTCACAAGCTCAGGCCCTGTACTAATCAATGTCACCTGCTAACAACCCTGTCACAGTGCTCACTTAAATGCACAACTTTCTAATTATTTCCAATGAAAATCAATATACAGTAGAATAGAATGAACCACATAATAATAACAACCTTTTTCTCCCCAATCAAAGCTCCCCTAATTAATTACCACAACTGGCCCAATTTGTGGTACAAGCTCCACCTTTAAGCTTTTCAATTTATCTGAGATAACTTAATAAGATCTTCAAACATAAAGGTACTAAAACTTTTCATATTGTTTTTTTTTCTCTCTCTCTCTCACTCTTGATAACGAAAAAAAAAAAGTTCAATATCTTGAGAGGATATTTTCGAACATGTCCTCCCTGCAGCCTATGATTGTAAACAGAGGGAGATTTTTCTGCAAGATTAATGGCTGTGATTATGCAATGAGTCATGTACAAAATGAATGAAAAAAAACAAGCCACATTGAGGAAATGCACATGGTAACAAAGAAGACGGCCATGTTGAAATATAACACTTCCTGTGTCTACGCGGCAGATCTTACGTTTTTGGCAATGAATATTTATAAAAGGGAAGTGAGTGAATGACAACAGTCATGTGACCTATTGTGTTTCATATACTGACATTTGAACATTTAAAACTTGACCTTTTATGTTTGACGACAACGGCAAATTAAAATTGACCATGACCAATCCTATAAGACTACCATTACAAACACTTTAGATAAAGGTGCATCATTATCAAGGTCGTGATAATTTATGTCGTGAATAATAACTTTGATCCAATATTCATATCCTTGGTTTCCCTGACAAAGTTCTTGATTTTATAGTACTTATTATTATCCTATGTTAAGAGAACAACATGCAATATGGCAGTGCAAAAAGATAATCAACCTGGAACGTTTGTTTTATCCCTCACTGTTTTTGCAATACTTTTCTCATGGAATTTATTCTGGTGAGACATAATGTTTTTCCACATGATATAAGCTTGTAAATAATGAGCTATTTACCGCCAGACGCCCACTTTCTACAAGGAAGCTTTTATGTTAAAACCTAGTGCCAGCTGAAATTCACAGCTTGTTAATAATCAATAGTGACTCTAAGATATAACCTTCATATATATTTTCTATGGTTTCTTTTTATAGATCCTCCCATTATTAAGACAGAGAAATTGTACCATCTCTCATCCTTTTTGCGGATTTCATCACGCCAGAATTTAGATTGCAGAGAAAATTCAGTGGTGCCAATTTGCAATGTAAATTTCTACTTTTTTCGCCATCAGAAATAATTACGCTGAAAGAGGCAAGACTAAAGCCGCCAAGATTTTTTTTTTAAAGAATCTTTATAAATGAACTTGCAAATCCAAAACAGGTCAATCAAATACAGATCATTTAATTTCATTTGCCAGCAAAAGGTTTTTTGATTAATTTCAAATTTTTCAACATAGATTTTATAAGACCAGTCTGTCTGACAAAACACATAAATTCCTTAAAATATTAGCAATTTTTTTTTAGTTTAAAACATTGGGGTCTGGATGCTTTGAAAGTGTAAGCACAGTTAAAATCAAGCAATGTAGGGCAATGTAAACAATAGATTTTTGAATACAATATTTGAACTTAATCTGGCAAGTTATGTACCTTTTATTTCTGTTTTTGCTGCAGTGTCTAATGATGGCGACGTGACGGCAGTTATAGAGGATGTGATGGCAGCTGTAGTAGATGGTGCTGAGGTTTGCAGTGAAGATCGAGATTTTTTTGGCGGCAATATGCAGCGTGATGATGAAGTTGTGTGGGTCACTGAAGAATTACTTGTCCGCGTCTGAAAGTATACATTTATCAGGTTATTAACAGGCTATTTACAGGTACAGGTTGTAGTGATTATCATATACAGCGGGGCATCATTTCATCTATCATTGTTATAAATAAATAAACCACACTTTCTATAGATAATACGCAATACATAACACTAAATATAGCTATTACATCATAACTACATAAATAGACAAATTGTATATTACGCCTAGTTATATATGGGTCATAAAAACTACTACATCAATATTTAAATATCAATGTTTACACTTTGTTTGACTCATATTATCGGGTGTTTTGCCATTCTTCTGTTCCTTAATTGATTATGTCAGATTATCTCAGCATTTAGGCCTATTTAGTATCAAATTCTTTATATGTTTGTACATTATTTTACCAATACCAAAATTACCAGATTTGACAAGTTATGACATACCAGAACAAAAACATAATAAATAAATTCTATGAAAATGTCAAACAACAGCGTATGACCTTGAAACATTTCTTTCTCCAAATGTCAATCTGGATTATTGTAGAGCAACCTTGTACAAAAAGTTAATATATAGTTTACAGAATGTTACCTGAAAAATATATCCCACCAACTTTAACAAAGTGAATAATCTTTATTACACACGATGAAACAGTTGTGTCTTAATCCAACAAAATCTGATTACGCACTATAATTCACAAATAAAATACCGTTCATTTAAATCACAACAACTGTCATTGATACAGTAAAATATGAATCAGTTATTTCTGAAATGTGTATATATAAATGTCTATTCAATAACAATATCTGTAAATATATCTCCCTACAGTAGGACCTGTCACACAGCTATCTTGATTTGTAGATCTCTGAGACTTTATCTGCTCATCCTAGAAAATCAATGTAAAGATAGCATGGTGGAACAGGTATGTAATAAGAGATGCAGATCTAAAATAGATCACAACATAGCACAGGATCAGACAAATACATCATTCTTTCCCTCTACACAAATCCTATTCTTGTACACCTAGATATACTACACCTGCTAATACCACTGACAAATTGAAAAGGTCACATGAAAAGCAAACATCACTGAGAGAATAAATCATTTAACACCATAACACTGTCGATTCTTTGTTGTTCGATATGATACTTATTTAGAAACAACTACTATTACACTGATTGTGTCTTAATGATAATTCATCCCTTCACGCCAATAAACAAACCGCATTTTATATGACATAATACATAACAGAAATGTAAACAGCTTACATAAATCTTTAATTCATTAAATCAACCAAGAAAAAAATCATTGAGGCTAAAAAAAACCCTAACATCATTATACTATACGCGACAGCAACTTGATAAATTACTATCTTTTTTCCCCATCAGTGCCCCAGCAATATCTGTACAATGTCGGAATGTGTTTTTCTTTCTTCTCTCTGGCTGGGGGCCAAGTACAGCGAAAACAGATTGATAACAAACATGGCTGACTTCGCACAAAGGCTCTATTTTCGGTGTGCACTAAAGGTCAACCAAAACTGATTAAGATCTACAGTACACACTAATCATAAACCCATTTCATAAATTAAACAATGTGGACTATGAACAAACATTTATACCTGGCGAGGTTTTGTGTATATTGCCAAAGATTACTACACTGCATTCAAATCTCCCTAAAGATAAATACGAAAATCAATTACTGTAACAAATTAGCCTGACCTGGACAATAAGCCGTGTATTCATAAATTTTGTCATTGTATGTCCTTCAAACATATAAGCGATTTAATCATTTATAACTACAATTATGTTGGCACACTTCAATGGGGCATGTTTGGGCACAGTCCGGAATTAAATCTGCTAATGACGCAAAACCTAATAATAAACCAGACAAATATTTAAGTGGTTAGGCAGAGGCGTTAAAATTATATATTTATAGTTGTTACTCTCGTCATTTTATACAATGTATAATAACAATATAATTCATAATAACAATGATCTAATCAGATTAGTAACATAGTTAAACCCATTAAAGATGTAAACCCCTAACCATCCCCCTGCGGTGCTTCTCCACCCCCCCCCCCCCCCTCCCATAAATGAACAGAAATTTTAGAACAAATTATCAAATATAAGATAATTAGCTGCTTTCTTAGTTCACTATTCCTGTCTCTCCAACTATATACACAGAAGAAAAAACCAAGCAAGAACAGACAAGGTCAGTGGTTCGATGTATCAAATTCTCCCTCCCCCCACCTCCCCCTAACTGCCATCACTCACAGAGATAAAGCAGACTGCCATCTCTCTTCCCCTTGTTCAACGAGGCCTCCATTATCATCTAAATGCCTTAATTTTCACACACCAGTTTTAAAAACATTTATTTTCTTTACCATTTACAAATTAATTTTAATTTAAAAATACTACGCTAACAGTACAACAGAAAATCAAAAACAGGAAAAAGCCTTACCAACAAGAAGATTAATACCACAGAAAAACCATTGTTAAACCGCAGAGAATCCTAACATTATTACTATCATGATGAACGTATTCTATTTATCAGCTATAGGTAAAATCTATACTATAAGTTATTTTCCAACATTCCATCCCTCAATCCAATAATTCAACTTCTGTAAGTAGAAGAGCTGCTAATATGTTCTAACATATTTTTCACAAGCAAACAAAAAATCCAATATACTCTCCCAGGTACTAATAATGGTACAAAATCACGAAACAAAAATAGACCATCGTTGAATAAAATAAGTTACGTACAAAACCACTTGCCTTAAATCAATATTAAAATAACAATTAAAATCTCCAATTAAAATGAATTTGAAACATATCGTCAACCTCCAAGGTCCTCTATGCCTCATTAAAAGTTAAATATAGCCTAAAGAATGGTAGAAACTTGCCAAGTGTTCAAATATCTTTAAACCACCTGTTGATAATAATGCTGAAGCATAAAGTAACAAAACTACACTTACTGAAGTTAACAGTCCAAATGAAGCTATTCAATAAATCCGTCTGGATAAAAAAAGTTTGTTTAATATCAAGCTAAACTGTTTAACAAATCCGTAACAAGTCGCTACCATATGCAGCAGGGTGTAGCACGTGGTAGGTGCAAGTAGCTAGCTGTGTGAGAACTGATCCGAACCATGAGTAAAATACCGTGACCTACATCTGACATAGGCAGACCTCGGCTTGTTTGTTCAATGTACAGATAGCAATGTAATGTAATCTATACATGGGACATTAATCATGTGAACCAGGATATTTTTACACTGTAAACATTCTCTACAGGCTAGACTGTACTATCTGAACAACACTTGTAAATTACAGGTATAGGGTTTATGCCTACAGTTTTAAGATATTCCGCCTCTGGCAATAACACTGACAGTAAGCTATCAACAAAACAGCTATTATACTCTTACTTTGGGGGACCATCTCAAAACATTTCTGCAGTAAGTGGTGGGGGTCAGGTATCACGCAGCAACAAAGCATTCACATTTACTTCCAACAGACTTAAATCGTTTTAAATTTAGAACTGTCTATTGTTAATTGATCTTAAATTTACTCCAAAGATTCCTACAACCTAACAATTAAGCATCAGTTAGTATCATATTGACCCAAACTGTACAGAACAAGTCCATATATTACTACACGCCTCGCTCCTTACTCTGGTGGCACAGGAAGCTGGAGCTCTGGAAGCCAAAGAGGTTTTAAATTACTATTCAATAATTATTATCCAAATTTAGAAGGTTCATGTAAGAAGTCTGATCTATATATCTCTAGGGTGTTCCTAAATTCATTCTGTACATCTTTTCATCCTTTCCATATTTCAAAAAGATACTTATTCTGAGCACAAATACCAACAGTTTACAAAGGGCAAAATGTCATCAACAAAACATGTCCAAAGGACTGGCTAATAACCTTTTTAACAGTATGAGGAATCTTTTTCTGTCTACAACACTTCTATGTATATGCCCATAGGACATGAACTTTGTTTTTTACATCGTCCCAGAGCACTGAAACAGACACAATTTTAGTATGGCATATTACAGATTCTGGAAAGCAAGTGTGCAGAGGAAATGGTATCCTACATTTTTTATGTCTGGGAAATTCATTAACACAGAAACAGAACTTTAGGTTGTTTGTTTGCTTTTTTCCCCCTGAAAAAGTGCTTAACCTGGGTTTTCAGGTGCAATTTGTGTGCGTGTTAAAAGCATTTGTGGTAAAAGTTTGTAATTATAACTGGATGTGTTTAAACAGTAATTTGATGTAAAATACTGTTTTCTAAATTCTGTAAAAATAATCTGAGGAAGGTTGTACACTGAAACAGTAATTTGTTGTAAACTGTAGCGATGAAATTGAAGTACTCTTTGATTTCCATTGTCGTTGGCAACTTGCTAGTTTTAAGCTAAATGATATTAAAACTATTTAACTGTCAAACAAACAGAATCTTACCATTATATTAAGACAGAAATGCAAATTCAAATCACCTTTGGACATTCATGTTTGTCTATATAAGATACCAATCAGCTTAGTGACATTGAACGACCTTGTCCAGGGGTTTTAACAATGGTATAGCTTTTTCCATTTAACTTGTGTTTTTTCAGCATAATAAGATTTATCTTATGACAATCTTCTTCCCAGTATGTTCATTCAATAATGGAAATTATGGATGAGATGCCTATAACTGTTGTTCCCCAGAGACCAATAGGAAAACATCAGACAAAACAATCCAGATAAACAGAAATAAAACAAATCAGTAATGCTTCACTTATAGGAATCTATTATTCATTTCAGTATGGCTTTAAAAGCCCTATGAAAATAAAGAGTATAGAATATAGGTCACAGGCTTCTTTGGTAAAGGAAGACAAAAGGTCAGGGCTTTTTCTACAAGCAGCAGAAGGGCCAATTCTCGAAATATTCCTTGGAAGGAAGCTACGGCAAAAACACCTTGATGGGTCTCTCATTTAGTCTTTCAGAGCTGAAAGGTACCATTGTTTAGAACTTTACACTGTCACTATTAT